GGGGGGGGTCAAATTGACCCCCCCCCCCAGCAGGAATAGGGTTAAGCTTTTATTATTTTTGAAACGTGTTCAATGCACTAGTTGTGTCTTTCGTCAGAGCCTATGAAAAATTGGGTTTGGGTTTACCGGAGAATAATTTTGGTCAAAGACGACCTTACAATGGAGTAAGATATGGAGGTTAATGGTTTACAAAGATGTTATAAGGGGAGAGCATTTTTATGCATCCTCCCTGTTAGTCTGATGACTCCTCCCCCTAAAGGAGAAAATGATGGAACACTATTTATATTTATTCTTTGCTTGTCTGTGTGTATCCAATAAACACGGCATAACAGCTTAAGCGATCGGGCCAAAATTCTGTTTGGCAACTCACATTACCCCAGGTAAGGTTTATTACCGGTCAAATAGGATTTTATTTTTGGGAATGATCCATGAATCCATATTGATATGTAAAAAGGCCAAAAATATAAATCCTGCAAGTTTTTAATAATGGAACAAGTTTAAATTGGAAATATAATTTCCCTTATAATTTTTTTATGAAACTATTTGTCCTTTATCATTCTTTCTCAAAAATAGGATATTTTTTTCAGTTGAAATAAAAATAAAATTGAAATCACCTTCATATTTGAACTTATGATTTGTTTAAAAGCTTATTTGATTTAAAAGAGCCATTGAAATAAGACAAGAACACAAACGTTTCATAAAATTACCTTTAACACTATTATTTTGGCACACCGTGCTATTAAGTTTTTAGATTTAAACTTTCTCAATATCTCAAAGGTTCTTATTTTGTCCCTCGCTAAAGCTAGGGACAAAATTAAATTTAAAAAGACTTGAACCTTCTCGATAAACAGAAAATGTCTGTCCAAAAACTTTATAACAATGCGAACCAGAATAACAGTGTTATAAATAGTTAGTATTAATTCAGAATTAATTACATAAACCCTTGTGTTATTCTTTTCATTAAGAGAAATCACGATCGGAATTAGATTAAAAGAAATGATCTATCAAATTTGAGTGATATACAGGGTCACCCATAAAGTATAAGGCTGCAAAAACGATTTATAACTCTTAAAATATGACTGAATTTAGTCTTTTGCCTTTAGTAATCTTTTGATAGCTTATTATATGATTTAGTAAAGAAAGTTGCATTGATTATGGATTATAAGGAAACAGTCAGTACAGACGACTCTGACGTCTTAAATGTCGATCCTTGTGGGCAACCCTGTATAATTATTTATCGAATGGTATGTAGATTGTAGATCTTAACTTCTATAAGAAATGAAACAGTACATATGGGATCAAAAATGTTCAAAAATTGAAAAAAAAATCAAACTGATGCAAGCTCTAGCACCACTTTTAAAAAAATAACAAAAAATGCACACATAAAATCATACTGATTTTACTGTAAGTTCAACTTTTCAGACTAAAATTATTAATACTAATAACTTTTTCTGAGAATGAAAATCGAAATGTCAAATACAGCTGTACAGTGCATACGCAAAACGCAGTCTACATTGCCACCTATTGTACATTTATTGTACTACATCAATAATCTCTTTAATTTAAAGAAAATTCACAGTACAGTTAGAACCAGAAAACTATAGAATTTAAAAACAAAATTAAATCAATACTTAAGTGTATTTAATGTTGTTTCAAAGCAAATAGCAGTTGAAGATGTTTCATTAGAAAGTTGATTGAAAAATTCTATTTGTATTTTTCGTGTTTCTAAAATGTCCTCTCATTTTGCTGCGGGCCTCGGGAGTTCACTTTATACACAAAACTAGGACTTTTTCAACACAAGGGAGCAACTTTATTTTTCAACACAGGGTAGACACTTTATTTTTCAACACAGAGGAGCAACTTTATTTTTCAACACAGGGGAGCAACTTTATTTTTCAACACAGAGGAGCAACTTTATTTTTCAACACAGTGGAGCAACTTTATTTTTCAACACAGGGGAGCAGCTTAATTTTTTAATTCTTTCACTCTAGGGCAGATTTGATTTAAAGGTTGCAAGCTCTCACACAAACATTGATGAGAATTTCACCCCAAAACGATTGTTTTGATAATAATAATAATAATAGTTTTTAAAAAAGAGAATCATCATAAAGCGAAAGGCCTAAAAATTTGGACCAATATTTAAATAAATTATTGGAAAAACTATTTGAAAATTTAGGATTCGGAAAATAGGATAAATAGAAATATTTTGAGAACTTTAAATTAATCTGAATATTTGGAATGGTTGGGGGGTTGGCGAAAGTTTGCAAGATTTTGCAAGAATTTATCCCAAGAGGTTTTTCAACCTTGGCACAGCCCAACTTAAGAACCATAACGCCATTTTTCTTATGTATCAGGAATGTTCTGAACTTGGTTTAACAGTTCTTATTGTTATTATATATTTATTTCGTAGATACAGATAACAGTACAATAGATTATTAAGACTAAAAAAGTTAATTATTTGGAGACAGTTCATCACTTCCAAAACCGGGAATTTTAATTTTATTTCATTTGATCTAAAATGTAACAATTCCTTTAAAAAAAGAATTTTCCGAAAATATTCATCAGAAATAGGTAAATTACTTTTTACATACAGTTCTGTTAGATCACTGGGATAAGAATTACAATCTAGTGAAATGTTGTCAATTTGTTTGCCAAGAGTTGTCATTAGATTGTTCATGCCATTTCAGTTTTTGCCACAAACTATGATTTTTAAAATCCCAATGTTTTTTCAACCCGATGTCGTAGACCTTTGATATTTGAAACTATGAGTTTTTTTGCCACAAACTAGATTTTTTTCTAAATCCCATCATCTTTTCAACCCGAGTTCGTATACCTTTGATGTTTCAAACTTTGAATTCTGTTTGATTAAAAATATCTAAGTTTGAAATATAAAAGATTACAACATCAACTTTTGCAAAGATATAAGGATTAGAAAATTTGAATTTGTTGCAGGAAATCAATTATTTTTGAAGTATCTCTCGCCAACTTGGCAAAGATTGCAGTCATGTATGATGAAGTGCAGGATTATTTTTCTCAAATTATTTTCAAAGAATCCGATAAAATATGATCTATATTTGTTTAGATTATCTGTATCTGGTTCTGTTCATCGATGAGTAAGATTGTCATAATGTCTATATATCAAGTTCTATCCATAGATGAATATTATAGGTTGTCAACATATCTCCATGTATTTGGTTTAATCCATAGATGAATATTATAGGTTGTCTATATATCTCCTGTATCTGGTTCTATCCATGAATATTATAGGTTGTCTATATATCTCCTGTAGGTGGTTCTATCCATGAATATTATAGGTCGTCTATATATCTCGGCTCCTGTGTCTGGTTCTATCCATGAATGAATAAAGGTTGTCTATTTATCTTCTGTATCTGGTTCTATCCATGAATGAATAAAGGTTGTCTATTTATCTTCTGTATCTGGTTCTTTCCATAGATGAATAAAGGTAGTCTATATATCTCCTTGTTAACTTTAAAAGTCACTATAGTAAAATAAAGAGATCTAAAAATGGATATTTCTAACATTTATTTAAAAAACGAGAGTTTTGAAATATTTGCATTTAAGGCGGAGTTAAAATTGGTTGATTTAGAAATTAACAAAGGAATTAATGATGAATATTTGGGGGTACTTCATGGGAGTGATGTAGAGCTTCATGTTGGTGGAGCAGATCAACAGGAGCGTCGCGCTGAGTATCTGCGTCATCATCATAAAGGAGTCATGGGGGTGATGTAGAGCTTCATGTTGGTGGAGCAGATCAACAGGAGCGTCTAGCTGAGTATCTGCGTCATCATCATAAAGGAGTCAAGAGGCTCCCTGTGTCGGAGCTGTTACCGGCTCAACTCTCTAAACCTGACTGAGCTGGGATGTGTTATTGAAGGGTGAGGCGGGAAACGGATGAGCGGGGTTTGACATGTGGGTGCTACATGGAGGAAATGGATAAACACGTCTTGAGAAAAGGCTACGGCATTTGAGTCGGTAAAATCGTCTTCCTTATATTTCGAATTTGTTTTAACTCTCCTGTATCTGGTTCTATCCATGAATATTATAGGTTGTCTATATATCTCCTGTATCTGGTTCTATCCATGAATATTATAGGTTGTCTATATATCTCCTGTAGGAGGTTCTATCCATGAATGAATGAAGGTTGTCTATATATCACCTGTAGGTGGTTCTATTGATGAATGAATAAAGGTTGTCTTTATATCTCCTGTATCTGGTTCTATCCTTGAATGAATAAAGGTAGTTTATATATTTCCTGTATCCGGTCTATCCATGAATGAATAAAGGTTGTCTATTTATCTTCTGTATCTGGTTCTTTCCATAGATGAATAAAGGTAGTCTATATATTTCCTGTATCTGGTCTATCCATGGATGAATAAAGGTAGTCTATATATCTCCTGTATCTGGTTCTATTCATGAATATTATAGGTAGTCTATATATCTCCTGTATCTGGTCTATCCATGAATGAATAAAGGTAGTCTATATATCTCCTGTATTTGGTTCTATTCATGGATGAATAAAGGTTGTCTATATATCTCCTGTATCTGGTTCTATTCTACGGATGAAAGATATTCACCAGTTGCTCTGTGTATCTCCTCCTAATCAAACCTCGGAACTTCTTGTCAAATATTTCTCCAGGTATATTTTAGAGTAGAGACCTCGGACACTTTATATTTCCAGGTATATAACCAGGAACCTTGGAACTTTGAAACTTTGGAACGATTTTTAAATACAAGCGCCTTGGAACTGTGAACCATGTATGTATTAAAGTAGGAACCATGGAACTTATGAATTGCCAGTTATGTAATAAAGGATAGGGACCATGAAACTACTTATTGCCAGTTCTGTATTAAAGTAGGGACCATGGAACTTATATATTGCCAGTTATGTATCAAAGTAGGTACCATGGAACTATTTATCGCCAGTTATGTATTAAAGCGGGAACCATGGAACTTATATATTGCCAGGTATATATTGAAGTAGGGACTATGGACCTCATAAATTGCCAGGTATGTATTCAAGTAGGTACCATGGAACTTATATATTGCCAGTTATGTATTAAAGTAAGTACCATGGAACTTATATATTGCCAGTTATGTATTAAAGTAGGTGCCATGGAACTATTTATCGCCAGTTATGTATTAGAGCGGGAACCATGGAACTTATATATTGCCAGTTATGTATTAAAGTAGGTGCCATGGAAATTTTATGTCGCCAGTTATGTATTAAAGTAGGGACAATGGAACTGAACAGTACGGGTTTTGGAAAATCCTGATTCGTAAGTCATCTTTCATTTTCTTACTATTTTTGATCAGTCTGAGAAACATATCTTTGATAAGATAATTATAGAAATATTATAAAAGGTTTAGGTTCAGATTCAGATTCACGTACAGATTCATATTCATGTTCATTGTTCATGTTCAGGTTTAGGCTTAGGTTTAGATCAAGGTTCAGGTTTGGGTTTAGGTTGAGGTTCAAGTTCAGGTTTAGGTTCAGGTTTAAGCTCAGGTTTAGGTTCAGGTTTAGGTTCAGGTTTAGGTTCAGGTTTAGGTTCAGGTTTAGGTTCAGGTTTAGCTTTTAATGCAGATTTTTAGGTTCAAGTTCCAGAATCGGGTTCAGTAAAAGTTCAAACATTGAATCAAATCCGAATTGAAAATTTTAGATTAAGTTTTAGAAGTATGGTCATAACTCTCAGAAGTTAATACCAATGTAGGTTTAACTTCACATTAAGGTTCAAGGTTTTTCTGAAAAATCTTTTTTGCTTTCTTAATTCTCGATTAAAGAATTGTGTCACGAAAGAGAACAAGTTAAAACTATGTTTTAATCTTTAATGGATTTAATTAGCTAGATTATCTCTGATATATCCTGAAGATCAGAAATCAGGATATATTTCTGTATATTTACATATTATGAATATTAGAAAATCAGGGCTTTTAAAGGAAAATTCGAGTTAATCTCTATTTAAAGATGCTTTATTCTCTCAGGTACCCTTTAAACATTTTTTACAAGCAAAAATGAAGGAACTTTCCTTGTTTTACATAAAAGTTGATGATTTTTTATTGTGGTTTCTCTTTTACTGTGACAAGGAAGTAATTTGCCAGAATTCAACACTTTTGAAAATAGTTCAGGTACAGATGTAGTTAGGATGGAGTTATAGCTGGAGTTAGAATGGAGTTACAGCTGGAGTTAGAATCGAGTTACAGCTGGAGTTAGGATAGAGTTACAGCGGGAGTCAGAATCGAGTTACAGCTGGAGTTAAGATGGAGTTACAGCTGGAGTTATGATGGAGTTACAGCTGGAGTTAGAATCGAGTTACAGCTGGAGTTATAATGGAGTTACAGCTGGAGTTAGGATGAAGGTATAGCAGGAGTTAGGGTGGAGGTATAGCTGGAGTTAGGATGGAGGTACAGCTGTAGTTATGATGGAGTTACAATTGGAGTTCGGATGGAGTTACAGCTGGAGTTAGGATAGAGGTATAGCTGGAGTTAGGGTAGAGGTATAGCTGTCCTGTAGTTATGATGGAATTACAACTGGAGTTCGGATGGAGTTACAGCTGGAGTTAGAATAGAGTTAATAGGATGGAGTTAGGTTAGGTTGGATGAATTTAATTATAGGGTTACCGGTTAATCCTTGATTAGAATGATTTGATTTTATTAACATTTCCCTGTTAATTTTAAACCTTGCAAAAAAACACAAGTTAAAAGTTCCACAGTTCAAGAACTGCTCAATCTTTTTTCTTAATATATAAAATGTTTAACCATCTGTAGCCAAAACAAAACTCTTGATATAACCAATTTGACTGTTTATTTTAGCAGAATTGATAATTCAAAATATTAAAGAACTAAACTACTAAGTACTAATGAAATATAATGCCTTTTTAAAAATTTTCCGGTATTTACGCAAAGGAATTGAGTCTTTGCCACAAACTCTGATTTTCTAATCACTATATCTTTGAACCAAATGTTGTAGACCTTAGATATTTCAAACTATGAACTCTGTTAAATCAAATAATAAGAGTTTGAAATATATATCAAAGGTTTACAACATCGGGTTCTAAAGATATCGGGTTTTAAATATTTGATTTTGTTACAAAGATTCAATTCCTTTTTAGAAATATAACATAAGCATAACATATAAATCCAAAAAATGTAAAATTATTTTACTTTTCATGTATACCAGGATTGATAATACTTGAATGATGAGCTCAAATGAATGGGGGGGGGGAACCAACTTTGTTTCCGATTTTACAAGTTTAAATGAACACAGATTACACAGATAGAACATTAAATAATATAATTAAGGAAGGCATAAAAATCTTCTCATAAATAAAAAAAAATAGTTTGATATCTTTCACCCGTTCTGAAATAAAATTAAAATTGAAGGACCACGTCTGAATTAGAAATTAGAGATAATACATTTTGTTTTTGTGAATTCCGGAATCAAACAGTTATTTTTATCTTTTGTCGTTTCAACTTTGCTGGTACAGGGTTACCCACAAATGATGAGACTGAAAAGACGACGGAAAACTCTTAAAATATGACGATCCAAAGTCCTCTGGTCTGAATATAGTCTTTTAATTGTCTTTTTATTGGACAAAGAAAGAAACAGATGGGAGCAGGGATTCGTGAATATAAGGTAACATTCCGTACAGTCGTCTCTGAAGTCTCATCTTTTGTAAAAAAAAACACTCCGTATTTTTAATTGATAATTAATTCTGGAAAAAGGAAAACCCTGGATAATGCATGATTAAGTATGATTAAGTATGGATTAAGTATGATTTTGAGGAATCTTTAATTATTATCAGACTCAGAGATAAATGATTCCTACTCTTAAATCCCGCGGGAAACCAGCTGATAATCTGATTATTTATAATGATTTAAAGGAACTGTTCTTCTCTAGCGTTAGAAACCGCCCGGGGTAATATTTCGCCCCTGAGTAGTTTTAATAATTTTGACACTTTCCTTACAATACAAAATTATGAAAGCATTGATAAACACCTGCTAAATATAAGAATATTGTTAAACACGTTTTTAATTCAGTAAAAACAATATACCGTCTCGAATGTCGTCTTATTTTTTGCACTTTATACGGTCGAGATGATATGAGGATTATAATCTGAATATAAAGTGTTTAGTTTCTTTAGCCCCTCCCTCTGAATTCAAGTTGACCTGTAATAATATAGGAAGACGACATTTAACCAATCTTATGTGAATTATATGTTATTGGAATGCAAATAATTATACCAGTAGCTTGATAATCAACTTATTAAGCAAAATGTGTCTGCGTACACTGCACAGTTGCTGTATTTTATGTTTATTGGACTTTCTAAAATCATAACAGTCGTCTTCCTATTCCACAGCTTTATGAGTCTCCTTGGATATAGTATTTGTATGGAACAATAGAAAACGTTTTTTAAATCTAAAAGTTCGTCTCCTATCCTTAAATATTTTTCAAGCCCTAAGTTTTAATTAGCAATCATTGTTGTAAAGATTAAGAATTCTAGATACAATTCCTACCTTTTATAACTGTAGAATAGTATTTATCATTAGCAAAGCATACTTCTAAAGTACCCTCTTTCAGACAATAATAAAAAGATAAGTAAGAAAATATAGATATAGAATCCCCCTACATTAAGTTTTCGGTGCGTACTGCAGTATCTCTGTACTGTACTGTACTGCAGTATCTCTGACCGAAGAAATAGTGTGGTTTAGTGTAGAGTAAAATATCTATGTGTAAGGATTCTGAAACCAAGATCATGGACACTCAGGTTCAGAAAACAAAAATCTAAAATCCGGATTCTTTCGCACCGATTTTTAAACCCAGTAGCTAAGCAAATTCTAGATTTACATTTACAGATTTTTTTTAATTCAGATTCTAATATTCAAATTTTGAGCTCAAAGTTTTTAAAACCCCAAATTCTAAAATTCCTGAGGCCGAACTTAAAGAATTTGATCCGCGGCTTAAATTTAAGACGCGGCTCAAATAGGTTCCACTTCCACTTAAACCGGTGCTCAATTAAAACCGGTTTTAGAAAAATCCTGAACCTATGATTTTATATCAAACTTCCCAACACCAGATTTTTAATGCCAGCTACCCAACAATATGTAGATTTAAAAATACAGATTCTTAATATCAGATTTAATTCCAGTTTTTTCACCCCAGACCAAACCCTGGAAACCAGATTCAAAATACCAGAATCAATACAAACTTCTAAATACAATTTTCAAAATCCAGGTAGATTCCAAAACACCTGCCTTTAAAATTTAAATTTTTAAACTCTGGTTTTAATTCCATAATTTGACCCATAATCTGATTTCTATCTGACCCAGTTTTAAAGGATTATTCATCATTTGTTTTGCGAATCTGGTTTTTTTCCCCTGATATTTCGTGTTATGTTTTGAATATCAAATATCTGATATTTCTGGATTGAAAAATCTAATCTTTCGTGCAGGAAAGGATGATTTCCAGGTTGCTGCTAATTAAAAAAAGATTTTGATTTTTTATGTTAATATACAGAAAGACGATTTGTTTTCACGCTTTAATTTATCTAAAAATCAATTTAATAATAAATTTCTGGGAACAAAACTAATTTAAAATAATGTATAACCTTTTTAAAAATATATATATGAACAACATTCATTTTAGCATGAGGAACACACGTAAGTTTAGCCGAAAATCAACCGGATTGTTAATGTCTGACATAACCTAGTAGAATGATTATTTATAACACTGTTATTTTGGTTCGCAGTGTTATAAAATTTTTGGACAGTTTTTGATTATATTTTAATTAATTCTAAAAATGCTTAAGCCTTCTCGATAAAGAAAACATTAAGTCCAAAAACTTTATAGCACGTCGTGCCAAAATAATAGTGTTATATAGGTAATTTTATGAAACGTTTGTGTACTTGTTTTATTTCAATGACCATTTCTAGATCAAATGAGCTTTTAAACAAAGTTGATTTTAAATTTATTTTTATTTCAATTGAAAAAAATATTTTGGAAATATCCTAATTTTTTTGTAGAAAATCCGAAAACTAATTAAAACATGATAGCACACGTGAAATTCACGATGAAGTGAGTAATAATGATAAAGTACACAATAGTTTCATAAAGTGTTTAAATCTTTTTTGTAATTTTAAACACCTTCCAGGGGGAGGGAGAAATAGTTTCAATATTGCCACCTAAAAAGTTCCCCTTACACTTGGAATTTTAAGGAGATTTGATCATTTTTTAAACACCCTGACAAGGCCTGGGTTGTTAGAGGTAAACGTGATGCCCCTTTTATAACTTTCTGTGGTAGAACAAATAATTCAGGAATCATCCAAATTTTGAACCATTTTGTGGCGTCACAGGAAAACATTTTCCAAAGTTTTCAAGGGGAGACGTCCCACCAATCTTCCAGGAAGGGGACGTCCACCAAAAAATCTGTTTTCTTACAAAATAAAAGTAGTTTAAAAATAAGTAGCTCGTAATAATACCTCTATCTTTTTATAGATTCTCAGCTTATTCAATTAGTTAAATTGTGTAAGGAAATAGAATTTAAATATGGTTATTATAAAATTTGGGTATAGTCCTTAATTCTAATTAAAAATTCAGAAAAGATCAAATTTATTTTTTGAAAAGAAGTTTCTTTGCTCGAGGAAAAGGAAGTTTTGGTTTCCGGTGACTGGGTGGGTGCTCCAGATATTGGATTTTCTGTATTGATGTTCGGCAGAAAGTTATATTCTCCATTTCTAATTAATTTTGGAGGAATTCCTTTCTTTTGATTAATTTTTAGGAAAAAACTTTGTGAACTTTTATTTTGGTTTGGAAGTTAACTATTGCCAGGTTATCTCTATAAATCTTTACCTGAACTTATTATTTGCATGATCATTTTTCAAGGATCATTATTTAAGAATAATGATTTGAGGATCATTATCTGAGGATCATTATTTTAAGATTATTATTTGAGGATCATTAATCATCATTTGTGGATCATTATTTGAGGATCATTATCTAAGAATAATTATTTGAGGATCATTATCTGAGGATCATTATTTTAAGATCATTATTTGAGGATCATTAATCATCATTTGTGGATCATTATCTAAGAATAATTATTTGAGGATCATTATCTGAGGATCATTATTTTAAGATCATTATTTGAGGATCATTAATCCTCATTTGTGGATCATTATTTAAGGATAGCTATTTAATTATCATTTTTCAAGGATCATTATTTAATGATCATTGTTTGTTTGAGGATCATCATCTGGGGATCATTATTTAAAGATCATTATTTAAAGGTCATTAATTTAAGGATCATTATTTGAGGATCATTATTTAATGATCATTTATTTAAGGATCAATATTTGAAGATCAATATTTGGGGACCATTATTGAGGATTATTATTTAAGGATCATTATTTGAGGGAAATTATTTAAGGATCAATATTTGAGAATCATTATTGACGATCATCATTTGAGGATCATTATTTGAAAATCATTATTTAAAGATTATTATTTATGGATCATTAATTGAGGGAAATTATTTAAGGATCATTATTTGAGAACCATTATTGACGATCATCATTTGAGGATCATTATTTGTGGATCATTATTTAAAGATTATTATTTAAGGATCATTATTTGAGGGAAATTATTTAAGGCTCATAATTTGAGAATCATTATTGACGATCATCATTTGAGGATCATTATTTGTGGATCATTATTTAAAGATTATTATTTAAGGATCATTAATTGAGGGAAATTATTTAAGGATCATTATTTGAGAAGCATTATTAAAGGATTAGTTTATCAATTAAAATCTTTTTAAACTTTAAAATTTGTCAATATTGATGAATGTAATGTTAAAGTTTAGTCCAATAATAATTACAAATTATTTTCCTTGAAAACAGCATGAAACAATTAAAATTAAATTTATTACAGCGCATCGTATCTGCAAAATGACCAAGCTGTTTCCAAAGAACGTCAAATTAAAACTATCAGTAAATCATTTATGAAGATGATTTGAGTCTCTAACCCTTATTGGATTATGTAAGTAATTGATAATCTATCACGGAATGCAATATAACAACCATTGCAATTTTTTTTATTAATATTTAGAATGTCTGCCATGCTTGTTACAATCCTCATCTGCTTCTCCACTTCTGTCTCTGCTTTCCTCCATTTTTATGTTGCTTTCGCTCTTATAGCGTCAAAGAAGGTATATGCTTTGGTTTGGTTTGGGATTTTAAAAATAGCCTCTTCCTTCACATGAATTGAATTATAAATGGTTTTATACAGGGTCACCCAAAAAGGATGAGACTTAAGAGACGACTGTGCGGAATTTATTAATTCTTTTTACTTCTGCAACTGCAAATTTGTTTCTTTCTTTGTCCAATCTTTTAAAAGAGGTGAGGGGAGGGAGGGGAGAGGGAGGGGGTAGGGGGGATTATATCTTAATTAAATCTTGGAAAAGATATTGACTGTTTATTTTTATCAAAATTTCTATCAGTTTCTATTTCTATCCAAATCAATATCTTATTACAATCTCTTTTTTTTAAAAATTGATAAACATTAAAAAGGAGACGTGTCACGTGACAGATTCTAGAAAATAAATTTTGATAAAAAAGATGTTTCATCATGTACAAGGTATCTTTGAAAAATGTTTGTTTAGGCTTTTTAGCATACGAAACATCTTTGTTTTAGCTAGAAAGTGCATAATGTTTAGTAAGCTAAAAAGCCTAAACACACTTGTTTAAAAGCCACCCTGTACATAATGTTATCTCATGTACATTGTGAGCTTTTTTCATGTGCACTGTACGGTATGTTTGACCTGTACATTATACCGTATGTTTTTTTTCATGTACAATGTACAGTTTATTTGTTAATGTACAGTGTACAGTTTGTTTTTTCATGTGCACTCTCTGGTATGTTTGGACCTCTGTACTGTGTATTGTACAGTTTGTTTTTTCATGTACACTGTAAAGTATGCTTAGGCTTGTACAGTGTACAGTATGTTTTTTTTCATGTACACTGTACACTATGCTTAGACATGTACATTGTACAGTATGTTTGTTAATGTACACTGTACTGTATATTATGACCTGTGTAGTTCACAGTATGTTTGTTCCTGTACACTTTACAGGATATTTAGACTTGTACAGTGCACAGCTTTTCCTTGTGTACATTGTACAGGATAACCAGACCTGTACTATACGGTGTACAGTTTGTTTGATCATGTACACTGTACATAGTGTTTAAACCTGTACACTGCACAGTTTGTTTATTTATGTATACTTCACAGTCATTAAGACCTGTACACTGTACAGTATGTTTCTTCATGTACACTGTACAGTATGTTTAGACCTTTACAGTGTACAGTTTATTTGTTCATGTATTATGTACAGTCATTTAAACCTGTACACTGTACAATATGTTTATTCATGTACATTGCACAGTATGTTTAGATCTGCACAGTGTACAGTTTGTTTGTTCATGTATACTGTACGGAATGCTTAGACCTGTACAGTGTACAGTATGTTTGTTCATGTATACTGTACAGTATGTTTAGACCTGTACAGTGTATAGTTTGTTTGCTCATGTTGACATGTATAATGTACAGTTTGTTTGTTTATGTACACTGTACACTGTACACAGTACAGTACAGTACAGTTTTTTTGTTCACGTACATTGTAGAGTGTATGTTTAGACCTGTACAGTTAGTGGCTTCTTACTACTTCATCTCTCCGTCTGTTCTACTGTAACCTGTATTCTAGGTATTTCATTTTCAAAATTATTAATTTTTTTCATGACACAGGGTGTTAAATATTTTGCATTTAGATCGATTGGTAATTGTTTTTACGAAAATGGTAAACCCAAAATAAGTTTTTTTATCAGAAACCCTGTAATTCAACTCCTTCAAATATTGTTTAAGTCAAAATTTAAAAATTCACACTTAAAATTCAAAGCATAAATTTAGTAACCATGTAGATCTTTGTGCTGGTCTATAATGATTTTGAATAAATATCAAGCAATTATACTTTCATTATTTTTTGTTCTTATATTTTATCTTTAATAGATATTTATATTTTAATATCATTTGATTAACATGTAAAGTTTTCTCGTTTCCTCTCTATTACTAAATGACAACGAGTTGTACGTTTATTATATTTCTCTTTCCTCCTAATATGAATTCTATTGAAATGTTTGACTAAAGTTTAGTAATATCCGTAGAGAACATTTTAAATCAATATCACGGCCTTTTGATGACATTTAATAGTTTCAATACACTTCATATAACTATAGATTTAGTAAACATTATGTAGAACTAGAAAACTATAGTTTTATTAAACACCATGTAGAACTAGAAAACTATAGTTTCAGTAAACATAATGTAGAACTAGAAAACTATAGTTTCATTAAACATCATGTAGAACTAGTAAACTATAGTTTCATTAAACATCATGTAGAACTAGAAAACTAAAGTTTTAGTAAACATCATATAGAACTAGAAAACTATAGTTTTAGTAAACAGCATGTAGAACTAGAAAAATATAGTTTTAGTAAACATCATGTAGAACTACAAAACTATAGTTTTAGTAAACATCATATAGAACTAGAAAACTATGGTTTTAGTAAACAGCATGTAGAACTAGAAAAATATAGTTTCAGTAAACATCATGTAGAACTAGAAAACTATAGTTTTAGTAAACATCATAAATAACTAGTAAACTATAGTTTTAGTAAATATCATGTAGAACTAGAAAACTATAGTTTCAGTAAACATCATGTAGAACTAGAAAACTATAGTTTCAGTAAACATTGTGTAGAACTAGAAAACTATAGTTTTAGTACACATAATGTAGAACTATAAAACTATAGTTTAGTGCACATAATGTAGAACTAGAAAATTATAGTTTTAGTAAACATCATGTAGAACTAGAAAACTATAGTTTTAGTAAACATCATATATAACTAGTAAACTTTAGTTTCAGTAAACATCATGTAGAACAAGAAAAATATAGTTTTAGTAAACATCATATATAACTAGTAAACTTTAGTTTCAGTAAACATCATGAAGAACAAGAAAACTATAGTTTTAGTAAACATCATATATAACTAGTAAACTATAGTTTCAGTAAACATCATGTAGAAAAAGAAAACTATAGTTTTAGTAAACATTGTGTAGAACTAGAAAACTATAGTTACAGTAAACATCATGTAGAACTAGAAAACTACAGTTTTAGTAAACATCATATATAAATAGTAAACTATAGTTTCAGTAAACATCATGTAGAACTAGGAAACTATAGTTTTAGTAAACATCATATATAACTAGTAAACTATATCTCAGAATGATGAAAAGATATATTCAAAAACAATTTTTCAGATTTTCAAGCTGGTCTCCCAATTTCTAGGCAGGTTTTACAATTTTTAAGTCGTCTTCTTTACTTTTATTTCTTTTCAGGTTTCCAAGCTGGTTTTACAATTTCTAGGTCGTCTTCTTTATCTTTATTTCTATGCCAGGTATTTTTTTGTGGCCCTAAAACATATTGCGGTATTCATTTATAAACTCGCAAACTTATTTTACAAACACGATTCTTTAAAACATGATTATTCATACTCACAAACCTGTTGTGCTTTCAATTTTATAATTCAAAAAATTTCGTTCGGATATCTTAGTTTTTACATAAAAGAATAATAATGTAACCAGTGTGAGCTTAAGCTTAAGGATAGGTCAATTGATGTGACCCCTTCAGTTCTAATACAGACCCGGAGCTAAGCTCATATTAGATAGTTCTATTGATGCAACCCCTTTAGTCCCTATAGGGACCTGGAAGCTAAGCTCAGATTGCAAGTAGTCTGGCCTATAGACATGACAGCTTATCAACTCTTTGTATGTAGCTATAGGTCGGACAGATAGTGGAGCGGATGATAAGAAATGCCATCCAGAAATCATGCTTTCAGAGCGTGAAATGCTTTCAACTTGTGAAAAATTTCAGCCGCCATTAAACTCTCGATCTCTATTTAAAACTAAGACCAATTCAGGCCACAAGGCTTAGACACAGGAGGGAGCGGAAAATAAGGTTTGCGAGACTAAAACCGAAACAGGGAGTTAGTAGTACGAGGAATGGAAAGGAAGAGGATAAACCCATCACATGAGGAGGACGAAAGGCGGAGGGTCTGCAAGAGAGCTTCGTCTTTCTTCGATTATTTAGTATCAACCATTATTTGTTCTTTTTTTTATACTGTCAATAAATCTTTTACTATATTCTGTATATAGTCACATCAGTTTTAGGCTTTATATTTCCCTTAACTCCGACCACATTTAAATGAAAACAATAAGCTTACCATTAAAGTAAAGGAATTGAGTCTGTGTCACAAACTCAAATTTTATAATTTTTATATATTTCAATACCTAATCATGAAAACTTTTTAAATTTAAAATTTAGATTATTTAATCTAACAGAAACCATAGTTTGAAATATCTAAATTGCAAAAATATAGGAATTAGAAAATCTATTTTTGTGGCAAAAAGTCAATTTCTTTCAAAATAAGAAATAGCAGACGACATTTGGAAAAGCTGAAAAGTCATGAAACCTTTTCTGGCCACCTATCTTATGAATAAATAGTATATTTTTGTTATCTAATAACTTTCATATGTTTGATAAGACACGTAAAAACACCAAATTGTTTTATTAACGTAGAACTATAGAGACCCTTCATTTGAATAATGCCAAAACGAATTTACAACAGTAATATCTGATATCACAACCTGGTGTAACCCATGCACATAATTCGTGTGTTCACACACCCCAAACATGCAAGAAAATGGCCGGGTTAAATCTTAGATAAAAGATTCTTTTTCTAAATCGCTAAGGAACTCTACGAATTGTAGAATTGTAGACTTTTATTTTTCAAATTTTTTCTGAAGTCTGATTTTGATTCTTTTAGGTTCACGGATATTTTACTGAGATCATCCATCCGTTGGTTCTTTGGAATCTGGCATTCGTTCATCTAGATAGATTTATATCTATAGTTCATCCTCTCAGGTAGATTAGATAGATTTATATCTATAGTTAATCCCCTCAGGTAGATTAGATAGATTTATATATATAGTTTATCCTCTCAGGTAGATTAGATAGATTTATATCTATACTTCATTCCCTGAGGTAGATTAGATAGATTTATATCAATAGTTTATTCCCTCAGGTAGATTAGATAGATTTATATTTATAGTTCATCCTCTCAGGTAGATTAGATAGATTTATATCTATACTTCATTCCCTCAGGTAGATTAGATAGATTTATATTTATACTTCATTCCCTCAGGTAGAGTAGATAGATTTATATCTATACTTCATTCCCTCAGGTAGATTAGATAGATTTATATGTATAGTTTATATACTGAATAAAATTCTTAAAACATGTCACAAAATCTGAGGAACAAGCACTGCAATTTCTAGGCCGTTTATACAATAACCAGTAAGTGATACTAAAGTGTATTTGATATTGTTACAATGCAAATAGTTTTTTAGACACATATTAAACTTCCTATTCAGTGAAATAGGTTTGGTTACTCTGCACAACTGCGACGTTTTAAAGTTATAACTTGATTCTACAAGTCGTCTTCTTATTTCAGAGTTTTCTGGTTATTACTTTAATATAGTTAATTTCTTGAGAAGAACTCCATTCCAATGACATAACTCATTCCTAATCTTCAGATTTTTCTCTTAGATTTATTTTCATACTGATATTATTTTCCTTATTTTCTTTCTGAATTCTTCATAAATTTCATACAAAATTCTTTTCACACTCAATTAAAATGAACTGGTTCTTTGAACAAACAATCTTTTCCTTAAAACTTAAATCAGGGCGAAAAAAAATATGAAAAGTTTATCCAAATTTTAGAAAAAGTTGATCTAAAAAATCCTAAGATTTTTCTCTCTTTTTGCAAATAACAAGGTTGAAAGTTTGCGAAATAATATGGAAAAGTTTAGGTTTATATATATTACTTCACAAACTATTCGCGGTCTATAAACTTATTCAATAAGAACCTGGAAACCTGGAAAAGATTTTATCACTTTCAACAAAGCAGTTTATATATTTCATGCCAATTTCTCTTAAATGACATCAGTAATTTTTATATGCATAATTTGTTAAGTTCCTGTTTTTTCTTCATTTTGAACTTTAAGTCGAAATAATTTTCATTGTTAAATTGTTGATTCACGGGATGATTAAAAATGTAACATTCCACTAGAAGGCATGATCTCCGAATCCAATGTGAAAACTTTTAAATAACAGGATTATAAGGATACTAGATTTATCAATTTTAAATACAGGATATTTGAAGAAGAAGAATTAAGCATAATTTTAAGTGTCCGATTTACAACGGTATCCTTAAAAGCTTTGTCTGATCAAGTATGAATTAGATATCATTGTTTAAAATCTTGAAAACTGATTATTTACAATTGTGGGTTCTCTACATATAATATGGTGATTTGCGCTTTTTTAAAACACGACAATATTTGTCCCATAATCAATCAGATAAAGGTTTCAAGGGTACCGTTGTGAATTTGGAATTGCCATATTCGGATACAGGGTGCCTTGAAATAAGAATTACAGACCCATTTATATAATCCTTTAAAAAACAAAAGATACAGATACAGGGTATCCCACGAAACCTGACGGTTGTTGAATAGTTTTGAATGTCTTCTTCCATATACTGTATTAGATATTAAAGACTTTTTTCAGTTTATTTAGCTTTAAAAAAACTCTACTCAAATATATTTTACTTAGAAATAAATTTTACTATAATACAGATGACATAAAATATTTATTATTATCCTTTTTGGTAACAAACAACTTTGGTAACAAACAACAAATATTATGGAAGAAGGCATTTTAAACTATTCACCAACTGTCATGTTTCGTGGGACTGCTTGAAACTGCTTGAAACAGGGATTCACAGCACTAAGGGTTTGACCGGCCTATAATTCTTCTTTACCTCTGTAATGCTCCCTATGCTTGAGACAATGTAGAGGACAAAAAGGCCCCACTAACGTCATGCATCAGGGACCAAATTTAATGAATTAGAGAGGTCGCTGAATTACCTACCACTATGGTTAAAATCCTGAATCAACTAAAAAATCCTCGACGATTAAGTGACCTAGCTCAAATTCATAAAATTCGGCAACAGGCCCTTTAGAATTTAATTTTAAAACTGGCGGCAGAGGTTGGAAGAAAAACTATCTTTAAATCTAAACTTTTAAGTTTGATATGAATGATTTTCTTTTTGCCTTTGACGTTGTTTGAACAAAGTCCTCGGAAATTAATCTTCCTTTAATGTTTCTTCTTTTAAGCTTTCTTCACTGCACCGTACACAGTGCACAGTACAAAGTACCCATACAATATATACTTACTAGGAGTCCAAAAAACCATAGTGGTACCTATAGCCCCAATTTTGAACCCATTTTAATTTTGGACATTTTCATATCTACTAAAATTTTCTAATTGAATGGTGTAAACAAGAGCCTTCTATAATTCTTGTATACCATTTTAATCAAGTTTGAACACAATATATATATAAATATATGTATATTCATTATATATTCCACACAATTGATCAGATAAAGGTTTCAAGGGTACCATTGTGATTTGGGAATTTCCATCTTTACATGATCATCTCTAGAAATTAAAATAAAATTTCAAAATTTTGACTGCTGAGTACTTAAACATTTTGTGGATTTAATAATATTTTCAGTGTATTTTCAAACCTTTTGAACTAATAGTAAATATGTAGATATAAATATGTATGTTATATATATTATGTAATAATAAAAGTGATATATATATGAATATATACAGTTACTTTAATATCCGTTCTATTTTCTTCTTAAACTTAAATCTGATTCAAGATATAAAAGTAAAGATGAATTAATACGCTATCATGAAAAATACAGAGATAGGTTAAGAAGGGATAAAAAAATAAAACCAACCTCTCTTTATAATGGAAAAATTTAACTGTAGACTGAAAAAAATAAATTGTTAAAAAATTAACCACATTTTATTTTTAATGATCAATAATATATATTTCCCATAAATGCAAAGTTTTGCACAATACAATTTGAGATTTATAAAAAATGAATTTTTCGATGAAATTACATTGGGTAACATTGTGAATCGGACTCTCCAAATTTCAACAAACCGTCCCTTCAAGTAGTCTGGTGGGAAGAAAACATTCTTAATATCTTGGAAATATTACATTTCTCTATCCCCCCCCCCCATAATTAGATAAAAAGTAAATATTTCTCGTTTTTGATGTTATAGAATAACAAATTACAAACAAAATAAGGACAAAAATAGAGGCCAGTTGCCTGACTGCCTCTGAAGAGAGCAGACCTATCATATGCGGTCCCAGAATTACAGTCTGGAGGAGCGCTGTGTTTAGTTACGTATCTCATGTCCTACAGGGGAAGCAAGGACTGTACATAGATTAAAACAAAAGTTCATCTTTAGTTTGGTGTACTGAAAGAAGGAGTTTAACCCCTGCAGCTGATATGTATACAAGCCATGCACAACAATACCAGTTTTTTACTTGACCAGATTCCTCTTCAGAGAGCTTCAGGGCGTACAACTCCCTATTTTGCATAAGGGGTGGTGCAGGGTTTTCTTAATCCCCCTTAACTCAGAAAGAGTATAATAAAGAAGGAACACAGGGAGCAATCCCCTATACCCTTCCTCCTACAAACCTCATTATCTCTCTCTTACCTTCTCTACAACTTGATGTCAAAAGAACTAATTGGAAAGATAAACAAGGAAAAAGAAGAAAATATTGAACAGGAAAATTAGAAGGGCTGTTTAAAGCTTTACACTATCTTTTTTACCAATAGCGAATGAAGACAAATGTAGGATGGGAAGCATCACACACCCCCCCCCCTTCATATATTCTACCTGAAGCTAAATGATCTAGAAAGTGTGTAGGAGATGACACAAACAAGTAATGCAATGTAGAAGCTCCAAGAAAAGAAAGCCAGTCAGCTAGTTCAAATGAATACAGGGTTCAGAAAGAATAGTTCTTTCTTGTAAAGTGGCTAATAACAAGGACATCCTTTTTCGTTATCTTCAAAATTAGCTGATATATATTTAAAAGATGTATTAAAGATGTACAAACAAGAAAAAAATATAGAACAAATATAGAAATCTCAAAATATTTTTATCTGATATTATATAAATATCTAAAGATATTGTAAAAATTTAATTAAAATAGATTATTAAAGTTAAAGAGGCGCAAAGCTGCTTAAATTAGATAATTATTTGATATTCAAAGTAAAAAGATGTTTAATCAAAATCCATAAGCATAAGTTTTTTATTTGGATTATTTTTGACGTTTAAAGAATGAATATTTTCATAATTATGATAAAAATTAATGAAAATATTTGTAAGTTAGAGATAATCTATTAGTATGCAAATATGATGGAAAAATCAAATTATAAGAAAATTTAGAAAAATAAGATGTAAAGACTTTCATTGAGCTGGTTTTAGTAACCCTGCCTTCAATGTTTCAGTAAAGATAATTTCAAGTGACCCTAGATTTAAAGATGACAATGTCCGATTCCCAACAATACCCTAAAAAGCTTTGTCTGATCAAGTTGTGACCATTGTGAATCGAACATTCACTTGAAATTGTGCTAACAGTCCCTTTAAGAGGATGCTTAATATTTATATTTTATTTTGTAAAAAATACTGTCCGCTTTTTTACTAGTGTACGCTTATACACTGAACAATACAGTGTACATATTTTTATGCATTTTTCCATTCCCCATAAAATCAGCTAAGACTAAGAGAAGTATAAAAATTTTAAGATATACAAGATTTATTAATCTAGGCCAAATTTGAGGCGGAAAGCACAAACAACTTAAATCTCAAGAAAATTTATTTTTGGGAAGAAACAAATATATAATCCACCAGAAATTCTCGGAATTGATCAAAATAATACTCTTTTCCCTGGTATAGTAAAGCTAACGGTTACCTGGATTACCAAGGAATTTTCATTTTTAAGGGTAAAAATAGCTCGAGGGAAGGGTATACATCATCTTTTAGTTTTTAATTTCGAAAAAATATCTTTATATTTACAGTAAACCATTTACATACAGCGGTACGCAAAAATTGTGGTTCTCCTGATTTTTTAATTTTTTTATTTGAAATCCTGTATCTGAAAACTTTTTAAATATCTAGGTATAGTTCCCTGTTAACCCTGAGACGAGTGGTTCTTCTGGTAGTGTTCTCCTGGATCCTAATCCTACTCTCAACATCTCCAACTCTTATCTCAAGACCTGGACTCTCTTCAAACTTTTCAANATACCCACCCCCCCCCACACCCACTTCCCATCCATCAATAAGTTTGAATTTTACCACCAAATGTCCTAAAAACCTCACGTCCGGTTGAAAATCAGATCATTTCACACTAGATAAAGGGATTTGTTTAGATTTTGCCAAATTACTGGTACAACTTTGTAAACTCGTAGCTATACTGCAAGTATGAGAAAAGCTAATTTATCTAATTAAATGTTACCAGAAATTCAAAATATTCACAATAGCTCTAAGAGTTATGATTGAAACTAGGTCAGATTTCATGCAATTTATTTCAGTTTGGCGTGATTTTAACAGTTATACTTTATAATAATACCAGTAAATCTTAGGACATACTGTTCTAGTCTTATCCCAATATATGATGAGTTTCTGTCTTTCCTACTCAAACATAAAAGATGAGAGTAGTCAGAAAACTATTTACAGATTTACAGATTATGAAAGTTTGGAAAAGTTTTGCCCTCAACCTTTAACAAATTATAGAATATCTTTGTAACATATAAATTTTGAGTCAATTTTAACAACCACACATGACTTGTGCGTCCATTCTGCTGTAAACTCCATATTGAAGGGGTAGGACGCAAATTTATATTGTTTACTATCTGTAGGAGGTGGAAGTTGTCCTCCTGTGTGGAACTCTGCTCCTGTTTACTCTATTATCTATACATTTATCTCCTACTTTACGCCAATTCTTCTCATGCTCATCTGGAATATATACATTGTCAGTATTGCCAGGTATACATCTTAATCTAAAGTGAATACATGTAAGGTAAGGAGGATATGGTTTTCGCCCTATGTTCCAAACATCCTTTATCTGATATGTGTGCGCAAACCCGACACCCTTTACCTTTAGTATATTCACATCGCTTCACTCACACTTGACCCATGAGAGTTTAATTGAGTTGTCCAAGGCTCCAAGCAGGCACAATAAAACACTGTTAACTATACATAAGGAGAAGGTTAAGTTTATGCAAAATTACTGGTATGACCTAATGACTTCGTAGCTCCTCTAGTTTTATTTTAAACACAAATGTTAGACACACTTATGACGTATTAAGAATTCAAAACAGTTTTGTTATTCTCAATAGCTCTTCCTTAAGATGAACAATGATTTAAAACATTTAAAATCATAATATAACGTGAAAGGAACTCATTTTTTGTCACAAACTCAAATTTTCTAATCTCTATGTATTTCCAACCTGATGGTGTAACCTTAGGTATGTCAAACTTAGATTATTTTCTTTAACCGAATTTATAATTTGAAATATCTAAGGTCTACAATGTTGCAAAGATACAGGGATTACAAAATCAGAGTTCAATTTCTTTACTTTAGTTTGACGTGTAAAATTTGAGATTCCTGATATCCCATCTTAGTTGATTATTCCCTAGTTCAAACAATTATATAAAACATTTCATTAGTTTTCTCCATCTTTCATCTAAAAAATTTCAGAAAACTTCGTCGTGTTAAATATTTAATCATATTTTATTGTGTGAAGTCTCTATCCATGAATCTTTTCTATTTTTCTCCGCTTTCTTATTCCCTACTTTCACTTTATTTTCTTCTTTATTAATGATTGTTCCAAAGATTCACAACACAAAAGTCGGTAAAACCTAACGGTAACATCCATTAAAGCCACAATAAAAAGCTTATAAAAATATATAAAATAAAAAGTTTATTTGGAAAGAAAGTCCTAGTTTCCATGACCAAAAATAGAATTGGGTTCTTCAAAAATAGAATTGGGTTCTGCGAAAATAGAATTGGGTTCTTCAAAAATAGAATTGGGTTCTGCGAAAATAGAATTGGGTTCTGCAAAAATAGAATTGATTTCTGCAAAAATAGAATTGATTTCTGCAAAAATAGAATTGAGTTCTGCAAAAATAGAATTGGGTAGTGCAAAAATAGAATTGGGTTCTGCGTAAATAGAATTGGGTTCTGCAAAAATAGAATTGAGTAGTACAAAAATAGAATTGAGTAGTACAAAAATAGAATTGGGTAGTGCAAAAATAGAATTGGGTAGTGCAAAAATAGAATTGGGTACTGCAAAAAATTTGGAGGAAATAAAATCATGACTTTTTATTCAAAGTTTTTATTTCTTGTCAAGGAGTAAAAATCCTTGATAAAAATATTATGACTTATTTTCCAATGTTGTTTTTTCAAACGACTTAGATAGATTTCGAACTTTTTTCTGATGCTTTTTATTTAAAGACTTCTTTTCCAAATACTTTCTTTTACCATATTTTATTTGATGGATCCAAACAAATTTCAAAGTTAAAACTTATTTGTTAATTCCTAAAATTATATTCAGGCACCACGAATACAGAATAGCAAACGCATTATTTCTCATCACAAAACAAGCAACAAGGTTAGTCTTTATACCGCCTCACCACCAACATTACCTACCGAAGATTCCCCCAACAGAGGGAGGTTAAGTTACTTAACGTCCCTTGGGACAAGTAAGTAAAATAACCACCCTTCACGCATTTTATCTTAAAAGGCAAAAAAATTGGGTACGACTACTTTTTCGAAAAATTTAAAATCTTACTTATCCATGGGTTCCCTCGACCAATTTTGCCTACAAAACATCCCTTTATAAAGTAAAATTCCAAGAACTTTCATGTTCAGTAAATAATTGTTTCTTACTTATCTTACAAATCTTTTCTTTTGAACAGTATTAAATTTTAAAAATAGTAATTTAAGTCATGTAAGTTTTTTAAGATAATTTTTTTTTAAAATTTGATTTATTCTATCTTGATCTTTTATTAACCAAATTTTTTTGGTTTTTGTGACTTTTTGAGAAAAACTTATTGACAGTATCAAGTTTTAAAAATGGAGTTTAAAACAATAAATGATTTTATTGTTTTTTTTTTTACTTTTTTAATAAAAATATTATGTACAGAATCAAATTGTCAAAATTATGATTTAAATTAAACAAGATTTTTCTTGTTTCTTTAAATTTCTAAAATCCCCGAACTTTTCGTTGTTTAGAGTACGTGAGGTACAGCGTACAGCTCTCCAGAGATTTCAAGGATTTACAGCTATATTGACCCTGGGTCAGCTGCTGGGCAGTATACTTATACTCTACACTCCATACTTTACAATACTGGTAACTGGTATACAGGGTTACCCATAAAGGATGAGACTGTAAAGACAATTTTAAACTCTACAAATTATGTCTTTAGCAAGTCTTAAGCAAAGAAAGAAAGAAGTTAAAAGTTGAAGGGAATCATGTAAATATAAGGAAACAGACAGTATAAATTCAGTCTTCTCTGAAGTCTCATCCTCTTGGTGGGGGGGGGGGGGTAACCATGTATTTTCTATACATAACTAGCTTTCAGAGTTTTCTAGTTGTCACTGTTAGTTTTCCAAATTTAAGACAATCAAATAAACAAAGAATTTCTAAACCAAGTTTTGGTGCTTTTCCGAGGTTCTACCAAGTTACGTAATCAAAATATAAGGCAAATCGGTCAAGAGGTTTTACATTTTAAGATCGGACATAAAAATAAACAAACACCCTGACAAACAGACAAACAGAGATTGCAACTTTATATATAAAGATAAGGCAAATAGTTTTATTAGCATCTTATCGATCATGTTATAAAGTAAAATGGTTCTTCACAATTGCTGTGTTTCATGTTAATTGGACTATTCAGTTAAACAATCGTCTTCCAATTCCGCAGTTTTACGGGTCCCACTGTATCATGGATGGAAATGTTAAACATATTTTGATAAAGCTTAAAGGGACTGTAAGCGTAATTTCAAGTGACCTTATAATAACGAATTATTTCAATTGTGTTTTCTGTACAAAAATGACCTGCGCATTTCTATTGCAGGAAGCCAGACAAGAGATGTCAGAATTAACCACTTTAGATATTTATTCATTTATCAATTAATTTAATAACTATTCATTCTATACTTTTATTTATTAATTTATTCTTTTGCTGATTTATTTAAAAGATATTTATTTGCTCTTTTTTATTCATTGTTTTATTTATTCATTTATTTAATAGTTATTCATTTATTCTTTTTTATTCATTTGATAATGTTCTAAAAGTTTAATAGTTATTCCTGTTTTCTTTTATTAATATTTTTGAATAGTAATTCAATTAATTTTTTATTGATTCATTTTTACTTTTATCAAAAATAATAATAAACTTTTTAATAAAAAGCATGGCTAAGAAAATCACTTAAATTTTTAAGCATAAGTTCCTTTTCTATTCTTTAATTTTTATTTAGAAACCAGTATTACCCTTACTTTTTCATACAAAATCGTGCATTTGATTAAAATAATTTTTTTTCCTATAATTTCATATAAATATATTTTATACATCAAAGGTAGGGTTTCCTTGAATCGTTCCTATCATTTTTAAGCCATTTATTCTTGCATCGTTCTATATTCTTCATTTATTATTTTTTTTTCACATTTTTTTCATTGCTTAAAGGGAGTGTTCGCGAAAAATGAAAGGGGGTATAGGATTAATGCGATAAAAAAGCGCTTTTGATCGCCACTAATCATACTTCTATCTGTTGCGTCTATAAGGAGAAACTTGTTAAAGACGTCTCATACCGAATAACTTAGCGCCCAAACAAATTAAGAAAATTGCAACATATGACTTAGACCGTAAAAAAATCCATTTAATTTCGAACAGATCATTCAGATAGTACAACCTATAGTCATCGATTATCTTTCGCCACATTTGTATTTAGTTTATATTTTATAATATTTAATTTTTTTAGAAAACGTTTTAACTGATTTCGAAAAATTTGAGTGGTCCGCGGCATTCTTAGATAGTTGCGCAAGCCGCAAGAGAAATAATCAAATTCAAAACAAATTAATTAAAAAATATTATAAAATATAAACTATATACAAATGTGGCGAAAGATTGATGACTATAGGTTGTAATATCTGAATGATTTGTTTGAAATTAAATTGATTTTTTTTACGGTCTAAGTCGTATATTGCAATTTTCTGAATTTGTATGGACGGTAAGTATTCGGTATGAGACGTCTTTAACAAGTTTCTCCTTATAGACGCAACAGATAGAAGTAAGATTAGTGGCGATCAAAGGCGCTTTTTTATTGCATTAAGCCTATACCCCCTTTCATTGTTCGCGAACACTCCCTTTAAATCTAAATTCTAAAATTAGACTTTGCTTTTTTCAATTTCATGACCCCCCCCCAGTAAAGTTTAATTGCTTGGTTTCTTTATTTCCTATATTTTAGATTATTGAAGCATTCTCTACATCCGCTTCTCCAATTCCAATAGGTAGTTACATAGACATAGTATAACCATAGATATATTATAATCATAGACATGATAGTATCATAGACATAGTACAATCATAGACATGGTATAATCATAGACATGGTATAATCATAGACTTATTACAATCATAGACAAAGTATAATCATAGTCAATGTATAACCATAGACATAGTATAATCATAGAAAAAGTATAGTCATAGACATAGTACATTCATTGACATAATATAATCAAAGACATAATTAAATCATAGAAAATAGAAATAGTACAATCATAGACATAATTAAATCATAGACGTGGTACAATCATAGACCTGGTAGTATCATAGACAGCATAATCATAGACGATACACATCTTGTCCAATCCAAGAGGAAGTATCATAGACATAGTATATTCATAGACATAGCATAGTCATAGACATAATATAATACTAATCATTAACATAGCATAATCTTAGACAACAGCGCTTTCTGACAAATGTTTATAATTATAATTGTCAAAACATAGTTAAAAGTCAAACCATCTTTATTATTATTTTTGGATAAAGATTAAATACTGCTGGGTGTTTCAATAAACATGGGAATAAACATGACAAAGAATTGTCTTTAATTTCCGATATCTTTCTTGTAACTTTAAATTAGACAAGATTTCTCTAACCATCATGTTCGTTGACAAGGGGTCCGGGGTCACTAATTAAACCTTTTTCTGAACAAGAATAAAAGAGATAACCTTAGTTAAGGTTTTTATCTGCAAATTTATTATTTCCAATTTTGGTTTCTCAAAGTGACATGCCGATTTATGCTTTAGAAACAATGAGCATTAGTAAAAATACGTTTACATTCCCTACATAAACGTTATGTACAGGTGTACAGTGGACCTGTCATGTACTACTGTATATAAGTCCATTCAGCAATGCAATAATCTACGGAATAAAGTAAGTGGTACAAAACTTCAGATTTTTTTACGTTTGTTCAACAAGTATTTATTCTATTAAATGATTTATAGAAACCAACTTTTTTAATTACAAAGGAATTTTGTGAACAAAAATGTGTGATGGATTATATCAAAATTTGCCTTCGTGCTTGTTAATCCTACCTGCATGCGCCCAAGCTTGAATGATATTCATTTTTTTAAACCCAAACCAAATATTTTTTTTTGTAAACACGGTTGTTAGAATTGGTTGACTTTTGTTCCGGAAGAAAAGTCTTGAATTTAGTTTTAAAGGATTAGAACATTACACGGTTTAAAACAAAAGTTAAAAACACTTTGAGACTATTGAGACTGAAACTTAAAAGATATTTTGAGATTAAGCCTAAAGGATGACGAAAACATTGACAAAATTACGTTCAGTTTAGAAATTGCAAATGACGTCATTCTTGGATATGTGTAATTATTCTATTTCCTAAATAAAGGCAGATAATTTCGATATAGCTTTAGAAAATTTCATTTCGGTAAAGAAAGCATTCTCTTGCTCAAACCGAAAAAAGAGAAAAATATGCATTTTACAATTTACCGTTCATAGCTTTTAATTTCAGTGGACAAATGTTTTAAAGACTTTTTACAGTTTTTGTTTTTATTTTCAGTTGACATATGGATAAAATATGTATTACGTAAGGGTTTTGATTTAATGTGTTAATGTGCAGCAGAGCGGACACAGAATTTCAGCCAGGGGGGGGCGAGATTTTTTAGGCCAAAAAAATCTCTAAATAGGAACAGCAAATTTTGAGGTGTTTTAATATGGGCATAGGATCACCGAGTAGAAAATTTGTATAGTTTTGGTATGTAAATTAGTAATTTTAGATTGAATTTTATGTTGTGTAGAATATTTTAGAGTTTTTCAAAAATATAAGTAATTTTAGCTTGAACTTAATGTAACAGTAAAAATTCGATTTACCCTGAGTTTGATGTTTTGTATGCTTCATAGAAAATGTTCATAATTTTTATCTCAAATTTTACAATGTTGCATGACACTAAATGTTGATAATTTTGATATTACCACTCACGTTCACTGATTTTGAATTGTCTAGACAAAATGTTGAAACTGCAAAATTCAAGGGATTTGATTTTTGATACATACTGGAACATATTATTTATTTATTTGTTACATAGTATCAAAGACTTTGCTGTATCATGTATGTTTATCACTGTTTATCGACATATGTAAAAGATCAACAAACCAGTTCGATCAGAAACAAATATTTGTCAAAAAAAAGGTTTTATTTAGTTGGTCTGAGGAAATAATACCGTTTTTTTAAACGGGAGTAGCATTTGAGAGATGTGAATGTGAAGCAGGAGTGTTTTTTGCAGAAATGATGAAAAGATTCTCACAACAAAGATATAATGAAAGCCAGGGACAGGGATACCTAGACAAGAAACAGAGAAATGAGAATGATACCAGAAGAGCTCATACAGACAAGATGAAGTTTTATCTGAAACAGGAATACCTAGACAAGAAACAGTGAAAGGAGGAGGATACCAGAAGATCTCATACAGACAAGATAAAGTTATATTGGAAACAGGAATATCTGGACAGGAAACAGGAAAGTGGTGAAGATACCAGATAATATTATACTGCCAAGGAAGAGTTATGGTTACAGCATACGCTCCGAACAAGAGAACCCTGGTGGAATTTAAGAATGAAATGCTCAATAGACTGATGCAGAGTTTAAGGAAGCATGATTGTTTTTTATGCTTAAGGAACCAAAACAGAAAAGAGAGATTAGGGCAGTACTAGACCAACAGTTGTCTCCTGACATGAGTTCAAAACTAGATATACAAATAGTTTTATGATGATAGAAAACAGCAAGAGAGCGGATTAATATGTGGAAAACAAGAAACAGCAACATAGATAGTTCTGAGACGACAGAAAACAGCAAGAGTGTAGTAGAAATTGGAGAAACAGGAAACAGGAACAGGAACCTGTTGTGGCACTGGAAATGAGTTTAACAGAGAACAATTCTAACACATATGCCTAGCTGAAAACCCTGGAATTGGATGAGGTTAACCATGCGGAAAAGAAGGATGCTGATTTGAGAAAATTTCTGATTGTTTAATAATCGGGGCTCTATAAATACTGAATTCCCTGGAAATCAGAAACATACCGGAAAAATACAAGGAATAGTGATGAGTTGAGAAAAGATCCTGAGTCTAAAGAATAAGAATTGGAGTGATGATAAAGAAGAAGTTGAGACACAAAGAGAACTAAGCTACCTAGATTGGTTGGATAGAGTGGAAACCTTGATAAGCGATGAAGTGGTGGATAGTACAGAAGATCTGGTTTATTTAGATAGGTTGGTGAGTACTGAAAAAAAGCTAAGATTGAAGCCTTACTGAGTGATAAGGAGTTTTTAGCATTGCTGGAAGTAAACACGGTAAGTCAAACGGGTTGAATCATGCAGTAAAACTCAGCACGGGAATAGTGATACGACAAGAAGTGACAGAGTCTTGCTCAAAACAAGTAGTGAGTCATATACTGGAAGTCGGAGAAAGAAAACCAAAAGTACAAGAATTAGGCCAAGAATACCTCAAGAAAATACTGAAAGTTTATCAGACAGTATCCAAGCTCTAGATAAATTTATCTAGTATCCAAGCTATATGTGTGATGAAACAAGAAGACAAAAATAAAACATTAGCAGAAATTAAGAAGGAATTTATTCGTTTAAGCTTTAAGATAGATGAAAACAGAGGAAAAATTGAAAATTATCTATAGACAGTATCCAAGCTATATGTGTGAAGAAACACAAAGACGAAAATAAAACATTAGCGGAAAGGATAAATGTACATTGTACAAGGATCAGATTATCCCATAGGAAGAAATTAAGAAGGAATTTATTCGTTTAAGCTTTAAGATAGATGAAAACAGAGGAAAAATTGAAAATTATCTATAGACAGTATCCAAGCTATATGTGTGAAGAAACACAAAGACGAAAATAAAACATTAGCGGAAAGGATAAATGTACATTGTACAAGGATCAGATTATCCCATAGGAAGAAATTAAGAAGGAATTTATTCGTTTAAGCTTTAAGATAGATGAAAACAGGATCTTAAACCAAGAGGAAAAATTGAAAGAGGAAACAGTAAAACTGTTTGTGGATAAGTTTTCTGGTCTGGCGGCAAATCCGGAACATTATGGAAAAACAGATGTTTTAAAAGTCATCATAAATAATAAGAGATCAGAAAAGATAAACGTAGAATACCTACTGAAAATGAAAATAACATTTGCAGCAGATCTAGAAGAGGATCCAGCAGAAATGGCTAAAGAGGTGGAAGTTTGCCGGATACCTGTCGGCTATACACAACAGGAATAAAGAGAAGGTTCAAGATCAAGAGAATAAACATAAAGAGAAAGAGAAGCACCAAGATCAAGATAGGCATCAAGATCTAGAGGAACATCAAGAGAAACATCCAGAGTGTTACACCACGATAAGTATGCTGAGTATGAACACAGAGAAACAAATACTTAGAGCGGAAACTAAGTCGGAAGGAAGAAATCAAGATCAAGAGATACAAGAAAAACAAGATAAAGGGAGAAAAATTTAATAACCAAGAACTTTAGAAAAGGAGAGAAAAATCAACAGAAAAATGAAGGGATACAAATTCGCCGTTGCACCCCCAGTTTAGGAGAAAGGGGGGTGCACCTGACCCCTTGCACCCCTCCCTAGATACGACTTACATTATAATATTGTTTCTATCTAACTTGCATATGCATACTGATGTTCCGGCCTTACTTCTTAATCAAAATTGCAATATTGTTCCTAAATTTACATGCATATAGCTTTCCTAGTAATTGCATTTTGTACTTTACTTGCTTTATGTTCCTATTATTGACTATTATTCCAAATTCATGGACAGTATGAATGTTTTGATTTTTTGTTCCTTACTTAATAAACCTGTGTCCGAATTTAATAAATTTGAGACGCGTCTCAAATCCCCCAAAAGGTGGTTTTAATTGAGCGCCGGCTAAAATCTTGAAACATTGAATACGATTTTAAATGGATCCAAACATATTTGAGCTGCGGCTCAAAATCTTTAAATTCGGCCTCTGAATGATTTAAATCCTTAATTTTTTATCCTAATCTCTTAACCATCTTTTTATTGTTCCTTAGATTATGTATTTCATTCATTGTTCTTGTTCTTATGTTCTTAGTGCATGTATAAAACTCCTAGTTTGAGGCTCAATAGTCAATGTTCCTCATTTGATGTTCCTAATCTAGATCTTCCTTTTTTGTTCCTAAGTCACCCAACATTTGTTTTTCTATTGTTCCTTTTTTTAAACCTATAGTGTTAATAGTTCTTTTTTTGTTAACCTAAATTGCTTAGCTTACCTTTTTTTATTTTAATTTTAAGTACGTATCTTCTTATCTATGATTTGATATACCAAGTTCTTTGTTTTGTATTCAATATCATAATTCCTTCATATAACTTGAAAAAGGGTCACATACGATTAATCAAATTAAGAACATGATTTTTTCAAATTGGGAACATTCTTTGCCTCACCCTTGTGTCCGCCCTTGATTAAAAGTATCACCTGTATAGTTTTTTTTGTTCTTTTTACTCTCTATGTTTACCTACAACTAGGGATGGGGAGGTGTTACTTTCCTGAAAACTGAACTGATGAAAAAAACAAATAAACAAAAAATGAAACGACCGTTTTTTTAAAACGATCTTTTCTTATAGACTATGTTTTTATAAGAACAAACAAAATAATAACGTTTTTTATAGTTTTGAAAAGTAAAAGCGAAACAAACTACGGAAGTTTTTGTCTTTTTTTGTGGAAAAACTATACCCATCCCTATGCTTTTAATGTTAAAAAACAACGCCCCCCCCCCCTTCGGCCGAAAAACTACTTTTTAATATTAATCTACTTTTTAGTATTCTCATATAAACACCATTATCTTATTAAAATTTCAAGATGCCTATTTTTCTTTGGAAAACATTTTTGATGTGATCTTTAATATATATTTTAATCTAAACAATTTCCATGCATGAATATTTGGATATATTAAATCCCAAAATTTATAAAATTCGGATGAAATAATCTAAAATCTAAAACGGCGAAAATTTGAGAAACATCAAACAACCAATCCCCTCCCCCCCTCGACTCCTTATTTCTACTCTTATTTGATATTACACAATATGCACAATAACAGAGGAAAAATACATCACTGTTTATTAATATCAATTATATATGGCGTAGATATTTACATATCTACATAATATATATATAGCTGTAATCTCTGTTTGGGTGTTTGTTTGTTTGTTTGTCAGATCATAAATCAGGAACCACTGGACCGATTTGCCTCAAATTTTAATTGGGGAACTCGGGAGACCCACGGAAATGTTCATAGCTTGGTTTTGAGATTCCAAAATAAGTGGATCCACTAAAATCATAATTTACGACAAAGCGCGGGTAAACGGTGGACTAACTATGGGCAACGCTGGGTTCCTGAGCTAGTAGACCATATACTAGATATTTACATCTAATATATATATGTATATAATCAATTTATTATTCAATCAAAAAACAGATTTACATCCTCATTCACGATATTTCATGGACTTGCTCCAATCTTCAGCGAGGTCTGTTCTATTTTTGGTGAAAAGATGGTGTAGACATTTACATATAATGTAACTCAGATTTTTGCTACAGATATTGCGAAAAATTTAGAAAAAATTTAAATCATTAAATAACATATAAATATTTTTGAGGAAATAAATAATTGTATTCTTTTTAATTTGCATGCACTGTGATAAATTTTATTCCAAAAAATGTAAATCTAAATCAAACCACCCCCCTCCCCTAGTTTTATTAGTATGATTCTTAGACTAATCTTTAACCCGCAATAATATTAATATGACTAACCCAATCCATAATAGTAGCAGGAAAGTAATAAGACTAACCTTCAATAATATTACTAATATTTTTTAGCATTTAGTATTTATTTTCAAACACAAAATACAAAATGATAATGTATGATGGATCAGCTTAAAATAAAACACAAAAGAAAATTTATTATGAGCCATTTCAAAATATAATTTTTGATAATTTTGTTCGATCGTTTTTGTTGAAACAAAGTATGCATATTGAAATCTCAACTAAATATTCATTCATTGCAGTAGATAATTAGTCAGCACTCAAATAATCAAAACATTTTAAGGAATGCATTCATTGAACTTATAAATACTTATTGATTCAGCAAAAGTAACAATGTATTCTCGTTAACTATAGTAGACTTTGACATCTACCATTAGCAAAGGGTGTGAACCCATTCTTGTTGACTGTTAACATTACTAATATGACTAACCAAAATCATAATAGTAGCAGGAATGTAAGACTAACCCCTCAATAACATTACTAATATGACTAACCAAAATCATAATAGGAGCAGGAATGTAAGACTAACCCTACTTCACTACACAAGGAAGCAATTTTACAAATCTGAGGTGAAAATTAAATTTTACGTCTTTAAACTTAATAGATCTTATATTGTAAAATTTTCAAAAATGTTTTAAGATAAAATTTAAACAAGTGTATGTGTGATTTTGAGAAGAATTAAAAGAATTTTGTTTTTTTAACCCCATCAGAGAGAAGTAATTTTCAAAAAATGCATATGTTAAGTTAAAACTAAAGCAAGTGTTGGTTTGATAAGTGATTTTAAGGAAATTAAAACGAATTCTGAAATTTGAATCCTATTGATCATCACTACTTTTACTTCTATCTGATGACCCAAAAAAAATCGGTTTGTTACTAATGGACCTTTTCAGAAACCAAGGATAGAAATAAATAATGATTCTTTTAATTGAAAACATCGCACAAGGATTTTTTAATTTTTAACTTTATTGAATTTGAAATGTGCCTTGAACACAATCAGATGACGATTCAAAGATTAAATTAAGTCTTCTACCTTTAATGTGGATTGAAATGTCTTATTTAATAATTTTACAAAAAAAAAAGTTTTTATTTGCAGTGTGTCATGAATAATGAATATTAGGAAATAGACAGGATTAATTCCGTACAATCGTCTCTGAAGTCGCAAATGAAACGTCTACATTCTATATTTCCAATTGCAAGCTTGCCACAAAGACGACTTTAATTCTGATGTTATCAGTTATACACTGGCTATCCCTGTAAACCCCATTATTTTAAAATCCAGTTACGGCTCTATCCCTGTTTAACAGGTTAATCGTGAAATATCTCGGAGGTCTCCTGCTCCCTGTTCAAGAAGACCTTCAATATCTTCCCTGCTGTCGTCCTTCGGTGGTAGAAGTGTCGAGGGAGTTGCAGCTCATCTGCATGCTAAACTTGCAGATATACAAGGAAAGGGGATATCATACAATGAGACCCATAAAACTGTGGAATAGGAACACGATATTTATGCAACATTTTCTGTATTTAATGTTGTCATGAAACAAAAAGTTTTACTAGTAGCTTGAAAATCAACTTGTTAAATGAAATAGGCTTATTTACACTGCACAATAACTGTGTTTTACGTTCTTTTGACTGCTTATAATCATAAGTTGATTCTAAATATTGTCTTCCTTATTCCATAGTTATATTGCTCTCACTGTAGAATTCATTAATTTTCAAAACATTTTCTTTTACTTTTTTCTTAAATTCTATGTAAGTTTGAATCCAATTACAGACAGGGTTAGGATACATGACACTTTTAAAGGATATAGATTAAATGAATGTGCAAAGAAAAAAAGAACTACGGCAAAGTACAAATAACGTAGGATATCAAATTGTATTATTTCAATAAAATTCGTCTCAGAAGTCTTATACTTTGTGGGTAAACCTGTACAAATATATTTGCCGACCTATAAATAAATAGTTAGGATTTTGTGTTCTGTAAAAGTATTAATTTAAAGGGACAATAAAATGGCATGTCCAATTAAAAACGGTGCCTATTTAGAAATTTTGTCTGACTCAAATATTCATCATCTTCTCTTTTAAAAATTGATTATTTTCGATTGTGGTTTCTCAATTCAGTGACTTGCAGATTTCTCCTTTAGAAAATCAGGAGAAAGTTTTTTGAATTAAAACAATTTGAATTTAGAAAAACGAGGATATTTTCCCAATTATTGATCAAATAAAGATTGAAAGTGTTCCTCTTTAATTGGAAAGTTAATTGAAATGACGTTGAAAGTCCTTTAAAAGTATTAAATATTCCCATTTCTCCATTTATATTTTAAAGTCTGGCAAGAAAGGCTTCAATAAATAATTAATCTTGAAGTTCTTTTTAATCTAATCGGTTAAATTATAGCAAAGTATATTTCAATAAAATAAAAAAAGACAGAATATCTTTCATCATGAATAAGCATGATACAAAAGTGGAATTATAAACGTTGATTAGTTTATTAAATAATAAAAATGTGTTGGTTTTCCGAAGCATGGATCGTTCTAAGGTTGAGTAGGATTGGTAGGATAGTTCTAAGGTTGAGTAGGGTTGGTAGGATAGTTCTAAGGTTGAGTAGGTTTGGTAGGATAGTTCTAAGGTTGAGTAGGGTTGGTAGGATAGTTCTAAGGTTGAGTAGGATTGGTAGGATAGTTCTAAGGTTGAGTAGGGTTGGTAGGATAGTTCTAAGGTTGAGTAGGGTTGGTAGGATAGTTCTAAGGTTGAGCAGGTTTGGTAGGATACTTCTAAGGTTGAGTAGGGTTGGTAGGATAGTTCTAAGGTTGAGTAGGTTTGGTAGGATCGTTTTGAGACTGAGTAGGGTTGTATGAACATCTTGATGTAGGGTAGGGGTGATCGGATTGTTCTGAGGTTGAGTAGGATGATAGGATCGTTATCAGGTTGAGTAGGGTTGGTAGGATCGTTCTGAGGCTGAGTAGGGTGGTAGGATCATCTTGAGGTTGGTTAGGGGTGGTAGGATCGTTTTGATGTTGAGTAGGGTTGGAAGGATTGTTCACAGGTTGAGTAGGGGTAGTAAGATCATTGTGTGGTTGAGTAGGATTGGTAGGATTGTTCTGAGGTCGAGTAGGGGTGGTAGGATCGTTCTGAGACTGAGTAGGGTTGTATGATTATCTTGTTGTAGAGTAGGGGTGATCGGATTGTTCTGAGGTTGAGTAGGGTGATAGGATCGTTATCAGGTTGAGTAGGGTTGGTAGGATCGTTCTGAGGCTCAATAGGGTGGTAGGATCATCTTGAGGTTGGGTAGGGGTGGTAGGATCGTTCTGATGTTGAGTAGGGTTGGAAGGATTGTTCACAGGTTGAGTAGGGGTAGTAGGATCATTGTGTGGTTGAGTAAGATTGGTAGGATTGTCCTGAGGTCGAGTAGGGGTGGAAGGATCGTTCTGAGACTGAGTAGGGTTGTAGGAACATCTTGAGGTAGGGTAGGGGTGATCGGATTGTTCTGAGGTTGGTTAGGGTTGGTAGGATCTTTCTGAGGCTGAGTAGGGTGATAGGAACATCTTGAGTTAGGGGTGGTCGGATTGTTCTGAGGTTTAGATAGGTGGTAGTATCGTTATTAGGTTGAGTAAGGTTGGTAGGATCGTTCTGAGGCTGAGTAGGGTGGTAGGATCATCTTGAGGTTGGGTAGAGGTGGTCGGATTGTTCTGAGGTTGAGTTGGGTGGTAGGATCGTTATCAGGTTGAGTAGGGTGAATTGGGAACCTACCAATAAAACAAACAAGGCTAGTAGATGAGTCAGTAAAAAAGTCAAGATTCTTACTTTGATTTGAAACTTCATTTCACTCTTCGCTAAAACCCACTTTTATCTCGGTGGTCAGTGTATATCCCAATTTGAAATAAAATACTGATTCAGGAGTATCCATTTCTCATTCCTCTAGACCTAACAAGCCTCCGATGCGGAGGCATGTCTCTGACCTGTCTTGGAGGCAAACTGTTCTTTCAGGGGAGGCTCAGGTCAGGAAACTTTATTGCTAAAGGGACTGTAAGCGACACTCCATTCAAAGATGGCAATGGCCGATTTACAACGGTACCCTCAAAACCCTTGAATGATTAAGTATAGATTAGATATCCATGTTTTTGTTTCTTTAAACTGTTTATATTTATTCTTGATTTCTTTGCAAATGTGACTTGCGCATTTCTTATCTATAAGAAACACTGCAGAAATTTTCTAGAAATTTCCAGAAATCAACAATTTTTGAGACAGAAAAACTATGTTATCTTCCAAATTTTTGATTGAATTAAGGTTTCAAGGGTACCGTTGTAAATCAGACATTGCGATCTTTGCGTTTAGGGTCCTTTACAGTTCTTTAAAAATTCAAATTTACTCTTAAGTTCATTTTATTTGCCAAATGTACAAAGCACAGTGAATACATTTTTACTTTACCCTTTACTATAATTACTTTAAAGCAAAATGAAAACGATGCAACCAATAAAATCTATTGTTGAGCAAGGAACTCCATGCATTTACGATTTGTTTTATCGGATTTAATTTTTCTGTGTTATGAATCATGTAAGTAATTCTTTTATCAGTTCCTTTTTAAAAAGTGTGTATTATTATAGTGCTTCTAGAACAAAAGATTTTTGTCTCCTTTTTTGTTAAAATTTAAATCATTATAGTTCCATGCAATTATGGCAACTTAGATTGTTTATTTTTTCGACAAATGGTTTAACATAATATTAAAAGGCTTTATTTAAGACAAACCGTTAAATTTAATTTCCAGGTCTTTTTATTGAGAACAGTAAAAGGTTGTCATAAAAGTCATATTCTTTATAGGAAACCCAGTATGTAGCCATGCACGTTTAATTTTGAAATTTAAAGATAAAAAGTAAATTTCAAAAAATAGGTTTCTTCCAAAATAAAATAAAGAAAATAAGTATTCAAAACATGATTTAAAGTTTTATTGTATCGACATTAAGTTTCATGCTAGAAATTCTTCAGGATACTGTAAAATATATATACAGGGTGTCCCCATAAACATATGAATTCAGTGACGAATTCGATATCGTCTTTTTAAATAATTCTTTGATTTAGTATAGTGATACCTACTAAGAAAGCTGTAATCTGTAAGAGTTTCGTCTGCTATGTTCACATTGTGTAAGTTTATGTTTTAACTGGATAGGTTTGTACTTAGTAAAACAAGAAAATTGCAGTATACGAACAGAGTCAGTCTTCAATGTTCATCTAGCGGAGACATTACAAACACATCTTTACAGTCTTTTACCCTTTTCATAAAATAAACTCTAGCAGACATAATAATATTATGGCTTTTGAAATTAGGTATTACAATGCTAATTCATAACAATGACGATACCAAATTCGTCACTGAATTCCCATGTTTTTTGGGACACCCTGTAGGTAGCCCAGAAAACCAATTTAAAAATTAATTCAGAATATGGCCGAAATGGCTTTAATCAGCAGAAGATCAGAATCAGATTATGGTATTCTACCATTATATTTTGGGCCTTCCCTTCAGGTATACGAGTTGTCTAAATTTTCATATTAAAAAGTTAATTTTAAAATATACTCGTGCGACTTTTTCTTTATATTTTTACTCAAGTGTGAGCAAAGCAAAGGAATTGAGTTTTTGTCACTCTGATTTCCTTATCCCTATATATTTGCATTTCAATGTCGGAGACCTTAGATATTATTTTAGATCAAATAATGATAGTTTGAAATATCAAAAGTTAACACCAAAGTTTCAAAGATATAGCGATTTGAAAATCAGAATTTGTGGCTAAAACTCAGTTCCTTTGTTAGTTCAGTTGCTTTAAAACATTTAAAAACTTTTCTTTCTTAACCATATATAATTAATGTTTCTTCAGGAAGAAAAAAATTGTTTGAAAATATGAAAAAAATATTTCAAACAAAAATGAACTTATCTTTTAGATCAAACGTTGTTATATTATTTGTAAGTCATTCGAATAAAATGTAATGAACCTTTTATTCTTTAACTATTCAAAGCCTTAAATAAAAATAGGCTCAAAAGTCAAGGCTCATCTGACCTAAACAATCAAGGTTCATCTGACCTAAAAAATCTAACTTTGACATCTAAATCCAAAGAGTCTTTTATCTTTTTTTATTCCAACAACTGAATGAATCCTACAATGTCACTGAAAATAGATTAATGGTTATTTTCCGGAATCTAAAGAGGAAACCTGAAACCATTGGTTTAATTAAAGTCTGATGGTTTTAATGGTTCTAGGTTCCTGGACCCGAAACTGAAAATTCAATTAATTATAACAGGAAGGAACCATTTCATTCAAATCAATCAATTAACAAAAATATTCACAATAATTTTGTGATTTTTATATTTTTTTAAATCTTGAAGTTAAATGTTTCCCAGAGAAAAGGAGAACTATCAAAAAGAAGAATCATTTATCTCTTCTAGTCAGTTCATAAATAATTCTAGCGATCAATCATCTGATCCCTTACTGTCTATGCCATCCATTAAAATGATGGATTTTTGTCCAAGTGTATCCCAAATCAGCCCAACTGCTGAAATGGGCCAAGCAAGATCTGAACAGTTCAAAACTTTTCATGAGAATTCAGACTCCATCGTTAACTATGGAAAGCCCCGAATATCCTTCCAAGAAAAAGGAAAAAGTTCTCATTATTCAAGAAGAAGCTCCCAAGATTCTAGACTTGAATCTTCAATTGAGTCAAAAATAAATATTCAAATGACCAAAATGAGTTCTAGAAAGTCCAGAAGAAGTTCTCAAGGATCCAGGCGTAATTCTCAGGTCTTGCAGTCACGAATTCATTTGCATGACTCAAGAAAGAACTCTGAAGACCTGGTTGGTTCCTCTCCATCCCTGAGCTCAGGTTCAAGTGTCTGGAGGATCGGACGTATGGCCGATGAAATGAAGGAGGAAACTCCAGACATTAGTCCAGAATATCCGGTAGCAACTCTTGATTATTTTAATTTTAATAGGAAAACATTTAAAAATCTATAATTCCCAATATTCGGAATTTTAAACACTAACGTTCAAAGATTTCACAAGTGCCACATATAATGATTTAAGAAAAGATTAAATATCTTTTTAAAGAATTATTGTTAAGTGATAAGAATGCTTTGTTGATTCCTAATTCCAAATTAAAAGTATTGTCTCTTTTTAATATTTGTCTAAAGTAAAAGCAACAAAATCTTGAAAATTTTAGAAATGCTTTAGAAATTTAGTCAAATAAAAATTTACAGGGTTTTGGTTATTTGAAGAAGATTGTATTAATTATGTATTTCATTTGCAGGCCAGAGGACAGCATAGAAGAAGCTTTGGAGTTGAACTGATGTCTAAATTAAGAGTGGGGTCACGGGATACACCAAGAATAAAGATAACACGTGTCCCTAGCCTTGACCAATCAGATATACAGTACCTTTCTCCAGCCAATAGTGAACACTCAAACTGTACAATAGCGGAGACAAACAAAGACACAAAAGACACAAAATCCGCAATAAAACAAAAAAAGAAATACTTTGTTTTCCGAAGTTTGGAGTTAACTTCGGGAAATCTGGATGGAATTGATGACTTATCAATCCAAGGACCAGTTGCAAGAGTACTCGAAGGGAAAAAGGTTGATCAGTGATTGGGGTTTTAGCTTTTTTTAAGAATTTAACATTATATGTAAAAATTAGGACTGAACAATGTTCCGTTAACGAACTGAAAGTTTTTGAAAAATGATTGAAGATTCTGTTAACAAACAGCAAAAGCCGTTAATTTTGAAATTCTTAATGACAAACGAAAAAAACGTTCATAAAAAGAACGGAAACTTAAAAATATGCGAAACAAAATAACGACGATTTTTTATGAAAGAATTGTTAACGATTTCTAAAATATCTTTCATTTATATTGTTAAAAAGATTGAGATCGTTGGCAAACGGTAGCTAATCGTCACAGACGGTATGAAAAAAGTCTCAACGTACCCAGCCCTATTAAAAATAAGTTATTAAGGAATATGCACAAAGCACAAGTGATCAACAAATGTATATTCAAGAAGTTATGTTATATATCATAATATTAATTGAGAATAAATATATACTGCAATGTAACTCTCCAACATCAAATTTACCCTCTGCTTGAGAATGATAAGGAAAAATAAAAACAATTGGTTGAATGGTTTGATATCTTAAATAACTTTTGTCAGGTGGTAAAAATTCCCACAATGCCCTAAATAAATGTGTTTTTTTTTACTATTTTTCTAACAAAAAACAATTATTCAGATTTTTTTAATTCTATGAACAATCAAGTTAAATTGATATGTCATGGCTTTTTCTTTACTATCAAAGTTTTAAGTCCCTGTTTGCTATTTGCTTGGATAACATAAAAGATATAAAAGTCTGCAGGTGTAATTGTATTCCCAGTAATATAATTAGTTTTCTTAATTTGGATAAAAGTTAATACACAAAGCTTTAGAAGAACAAGAAATCTCAGAAATTACTTTATGAAACTATTGTGTACTTTACTCACTTCACCGTGAATTTCATAATGCACGTGCTATAAAGTAATCATCGTGCAAGTTAAATTATCGTGCTATAAAGTTAAATTAGCTGTACATTATAGCACGTGTGCCATAAAGTTTTGATTGCTTCCCGGATTTTCTCCAAAATATTTAGGATATTTCCAAAATAATTTTTATCAATTGAAATAAAAATAAAATTGAAATCAACTTTCTTTTTTTACTTCTGCTTTGTTTCAAAGCTTAGATCTATAGAAAAAGCCATTACAATAAGTATACTGTAAACCCACCAAGGATGTATAACTGTATCCTAGTTTGTTCAACCCAAGCCAAGTTTTATCATGAGTTGAGGACTGGACAAACAAATAATAATGATTTAACCCGTTACTCTGCATCTGTTACCAACGGGGGGAGGAATTTTCCACGGAGACAAGATTCAAACCCTGGTGACCCTTATCTGGGGAGCACGGATAACGGTGCTTTCGTCGGCAGAGAAAGCAAACTGAACGTCCATTTTGTGCCCCAGAGGAGGGTTAGTCTTGATGAAGTATCAGAGGAGAGCGGTCGATAACATCTCCAGTCGCTCCAGGAGGAGTATTAGCTCCATCTATGATTCCAGGATTAACTTCGGTTGATCCTCAGTTTGTATTTTAAAAATAATGTAAAATAAATGTCCGTGCAAAGTTAGTGCTTTAATCGATTCAATCTGGCTTGTTATATTGAGTTTCTCTTTGTCAAGTTTCCTTTATTGAGTTCTTTATACGTGAGTTTCTCTTCAAGTTTATAATACAAACGTTTCAAAAAAATTTACCTATAACCTATTATTTTGGCACACGTGCTATAAGGTTCTCGCCTTCTCGAGAAAGAGAAACTTTCTGTGCCAAAACTTTATAATACTGCGAACCAAATAACAGTGTTATAAATAGTTATTATCCAACCAGGTAAATAATATTTCCACCATTTACATTCATAGAATCAACATCATAAAATAAATTACCTTAAAACTACAGATGCAATCTAAATTGATAGACTATACTATATCTTCCACACTAGTACACAGATATAGGTTTTAAGGGTACCGTTGTGAATCGGGCGTGACCCTGTTTGATGGAGAGTCCCTTTAATTATTGTAATGGACCAATAAAAAACGTGGATAGAATATAAGAGTACAATTATTAGGCGTAAACAGAACACAATGAAATAAACAAAAATTAAGTAGAATACCAAGAATTTCATAATGTTAGAAAAGACCCGTCTATGCCCCTGTCTGTGGTAACCCTAGTATAAACAATTCACACGCCTTCAGCTAAGAATGTTTTAATTAAGGTCCAGGGGCGTACGAGGGGGTTAGGGCGAGCCCCCTGGCCCCATCTACGCGTGCCCCCTCTGAGGGGGGGACTCAAGGGGGTAGAGATGTCAACGTTTTGATTTTTCTAGATTTTAGCTTTAGTTGCTATAGTGTTCATCAAAAGTATAAATTTTTGAAACGTTACGTTGCACAGTGTGACAGTATGACATTTTATGGCATAGATTAACGTTACGTAATGAATTTTCTGCACTTAAATACCTTATACAACGTTAAGCTTTAGTAAATGTTAGTGAAACAACAGTAAGCTCCATTACGCTTTTCTATTTCCTGTTTTAAAAAAACATTCCCAACGTTTCCTAAAAGCTTTAGTAATATAACCACAATTTTTTTAACATTCCACTTTCATGCAAGGTAAATGTTTTCAGAGACCTTACGTGTCACTTTCACTTGGTTTGAAAACTAAAAGGTGATGAAGGTTTTGCTTTAATAAAACGTCAGTAGGGCATAGTTCTGAACGTTGCAATGCATTTCAGTGCAAAGAATATTTTTAATTAACCTTACGTTTTAACTTAACTTTTCCGATATAACCTTTTTTAATTACGCTTAGGAATTTTACTAAATGCAACTTTTCTTACGTTACGATTTATCGAAACGTTATTGTGAAAACTTTTTTTGTTACACTATTTTACAACTGGCAATCAAAACTGTTTATTCGTTTCTAAGAAAGATATGAAAAAATGTTCTATACGTTACGTTGTATTAAAATGTGTAGGACTTGACGTTTCTTAATTTACACTTAATAAAAAATAAAATAATATTAGTTCTAAATGAAAGCATTACAAGATTAATCCCTTTTTTACTCACCCTGTATGTTGCTGTTGCATTGTTTCCGTGTTACCCATTTTGAAAAATGAATATTTTTATTCGTGGTTTCTCTACAAAAATGACTTGCGCATTTCTTGCTTCAGAAACGATGGAGAAATGTTGTTTCTAAGGTACATCGGACCTGCCTCTCTATATTACGCATGTATTCCATTTAAGTACAGTGAAACCCTTAATAAAGAATACATCGGAAGAATTTATCAAATGTCGTCTTGACGATTTTTAAATGAGTTTTATACTATAATACTTAAATTTCAGTATTTGCGAAAATAAATAAATAGCCATGAATATGCGGGAACAGTTTTAAAGAGTTTCATATAATCATTTAATTAAAAAACTAAATATCTGCAACATAAATATATTCTGATTCACAACAATGCCCTTTAAAGCTTTGTCTGATCAAGTATTGCGTTAAAAATCCATGTTTCCCATTTTGAAAAATGAATATTTTTATTTGTGGTTTCTCTACAAAAATGACTTGCGCATTTCTTGCTTCAGAAACGATGGAGAAATGTTGTTTCTAAGGTACATCGGACCTGCTTAAAAATCTTTTTAAAAAAGCTTAAAAATCTCACTTTTGCCCAGAACAAAAAAGTTTCATTAAAAAAAGCTTTATTCAATAATGCCTTCAGTGTAAATAAATATGTGATATCATATTTTACTATACAATATGTATCAATCCTAAGAAAATATAGATATTTTTTTTAGAAACGTTTCCATCTAAATTTTTCATCCCTTAATGCTTACACCACTGTATTAAGAGGGATTGTCTGATTTTGTGCCCCCCCCCCCCTTAAGAAAATTACATAAATTTAAGTTTACACAGTTAAAAAAGGTATCAATATTTTTTTCAAAAGGTGTGCCCCACCCCTCCTACACAAATGCTCTCGTACGCCCCTGTTAGGGTCTACTATCAACAAACTATTTTTCTTAAAACTAAAACAATCTTTACTCCCGAAATTTTTTATGTGTGAAAAAGTCTTAGCTTTATATTACGTTTAATACAGAGGCTGGGGGACAGTTACAGGGCATGGGACGTTGCGATGCGGAGGGGGGGATAGACAAAACTTCTTTTACTTTTTATTATTGAGGGTTAGGTTAGGTTAAGACAATTTCTGGGCCGAGCGCTGCGGCTAGGATGGGCTAGGGGGCCGAGCGCTGCGGCTAGGGGGCCTGCGCTGCGGGCAGCACAGACAAGCTAGCCGAGCGCGCGCCGTGGCTAGGACAGGCTAGGGGCCGGCGCTGCGGCCACGTGAGAGTTTTGTCTATCCCCCCCTCCGCACCGCTACGTCCCATGCCCAGTTACAGTGCCTACCATTTATTTATATTTACTTTACCCTTGTTCTATCAATTAATCATTCTCTGGTAGGACGATACGTAATGTCGTTATCTAACGTTGAACATTTTAAAAGAACGAAGAAATCAATGACTGGATCCAACTTTTATTGTAAGAATGTCAGTAATGTACTGGGCCAGGTTGTGCCCCACCTCAAAGTTTTATTTATTTATATTTATGGATCTAAAATATATTGTTTTTCTGAAATCCAGTGTCCATATTTAAGACAGAAGATAGATTTTACTCTGTAGACATCAATATTCAAAAAGTTTTCGGTCGTCATTTAAGTCACCACGTGAATTTCCCTAGAAGCAAATAGATTATCAAGTACAATGGGTGGCAACAGTTATATTAAAAAATTATACACAACGTCACAAGTGTCAAAACAATATTTTCTCACATTAGTTGACATGTTTTCAAAATTAAATAAATAAGTGTAAAAACAGAAAATAAAGAACACATAAAATTATTATTATTTAACTGTAAGATAAGCACTTATATCTAAAAATATCACTATTTTTAAAAATTTTTTCGGGCACAAAAACTGAGTTGATAACTGTGACGTCAGAAATTGTGCTGAGAGTGTACAAATTCTATGTTGCTATCTATATACTAGAATCTATTTGACTAGAAGCCGTCTGGGTTATTTGGTGTACTGTCCCGTTTTGTCTATTATAATCTGTATGTGTACTGTACAGCTCGCTCTAGCTGGTTAGACGTCGACTCGGTTCTTTAAATGCATGCATGCATGGAGCTCTTGCATGAGCGGACTCCACCTAGAGTTTTAACCATTTCAACACAATGTTAGACATAAAAAGCTATGTTATGGCATTTTCCGATATTTATTAATGTATTTTGATTTGAAAAACACATAAAGAATTATCTAAGTCTCGAGTAAATATTAATTGATTGATTATTTAAAAGGAAGACGACATATAGGAAGAAATAATCTTTTTATGCCTTTACCCCCTTTAAAATACAATTAGGAACTAAATGCCTATTTAATATATGTCAACTAATAATTTTTATGTTTTAACATTGCTTTTTATGTTTAACATTGTGTTATACAGTGGTCGGCAATTATATCAATTTAATAAAGACGACATTTTCTTAATATATGTGTTTTAAATCATAACAAGCATTTTTCCAATTTCATGTAAACAAAGAGAAGCTGTTACTTAACAACTTCTCTTTGTTCACTAGTTTATATCTCTAGCTGCTACTCATGAAAGATTTGGTAGAAATTAAAATTGAAATAAAAGTCGTCTTCATTATGTTGATATATGCGACGACAGCTGTAGGTAACTATATAGATTAGGAGGAAAATTTCAGAATTCATAAGTCCTTGAATAAAGAAATGTGAATATTCTGAGAAGAATGCATGATTCAGGCAGTGTGCACTATTTTGTAATTGCTTGTTATATTGTTTAGTTTGCTAACACTTCACAGTGTAAACAGAGAAGCAAGGACATCAGTGATGGATGGATGGACATATTGATGGATCAATTGATACATACAGGGTGTCCAACGCGCGAAACATGACAGTTGGTAAATAGTTTTAAATGTCTTCTTCCCTTATGTCTTAAGTTATTGGAAAGCAAAGAGAAAAATAAAAAAATGTTATATGGGAGTCATATTATAGTAAAATTCTATAAGCATTATATATTTGAATAACATTTTTTTTAACGAAATGTAAACAGAAAAATGTCTTTAATATATAAGACAATATACGGAAGAGTAAATTCAGAACTTTTCTCAAATTATCATGTTTCGTGGGACACCCTGTATTATAAAATATAATTATTTTGAGTTGTAGGAGATGAGATTGTTGCGTTTAAAAGAATTTTCAGAAAAAATAAAATTGGCATTTTATTCAGTTATCGGTTTTTTATAGTTTGATTCTTCTATGTTTCTTGAATTTGAATTTCAAAAGCATAGACGACATTCGAAGAAATCTGCAAATAAACTTGAAAATAATAATTATAATGATGATGATGAAATAATTGATTCTACCATTGATTTCATCACAAAAAATGAGAAATATGTTCCTTAACAACAAATAAGTTTACTTACTTCGAGATTATCGTCTTATTATTGGTATCAAATAAATCCTATTTTTTTCTCTACAATACTAAAGTTTCAGTTCAACTACCCATGTTTATTGGGACACCCTGTATATTACATAATCAGTCTCTCCCTTTAAGAGAAAAATGCAAAATTTTTGTATTTTTTGTTTATCTGACTACTGACTGGCTAAAGTCATAACTTGAGTTTAACAGTAGGCTTCCTATTCCACGGTTTAAGGGGTCTTATTGTGAATATAATTTTTTATTTAAAAGTTATTTATTTTTAAGAGTGGAAGACAACTTGCAGGCGCGGCAAACATGCATTGAGTAGAGTAAACAATGAAAACAATAGTTGAAGGTTGTTGAAGGTAAACGGAGAGGAGAATAATTTCCCAGTTTTCTAGCTATTCATAGATGGCAAAAATTTGTTATAAACATTCTAAAAAAGAAACCCGAATTAAATTAAATTAGAATTAGATGTTTCCAATACCTTGAGTATAGGACATAATTTTTAAATGACTCAAATTAAAAGTGACCCTCTATTTAAAGATGTGCATGCCCGACAGACTTTTCTGATTAGGGTTCATGAAATATCTGGGATTTCTATTTCAAAAATTTGTTAGCTTCAATTGAGGTTTAACTATAAAAGTGGCATGCAGATTTTTAACAGAAACAATAATAGAAATTGAGTTGAACACGTTAGAAATACGACATCTTACACATTAATGAATAGTTTAAAAGGTACCGTTGTGAATTGTGCATGTTCTTCTGTACAAGGTCACTTCAAATAACAACGTAAGTCTCATTATAAATTCTGTAAATTTGGCTAAAAACTTCCATCAGTCTTTTAAACTTTTGAATCTTGAGCCTGCGACTTCAGCGCCAAGATGCAGGTTTTAACTAAAACGAGTAATTTAGATTATATTCTCAGCTCAACAACTGTTCTAGCAGGCTCGTTATTTCTCTCTGGCTATCAGAGCTCGGAAAAGGAATTGAGTTTTTGCCACAAACTAAAATCTTCTGATCCCAATATCTTTGCAACCTGATGGTGCAAACCTTTGATATTTCAAACTTAGATTAATTTATCTATAAGTAATAATAGTTTGAAATATCCAAGGTCTACGACATTGGGTTACAAAGATATAGAGATTAGAAAATCAGAGTTTGTGGCAAAAACTCAACTCCTTTGTATTGTGTATAATCGAGATCAATGCTTGGTCCCGATGATTTGGTAATCTACAGAATAATTTAATCTTTATTCGATATCCGGCAAGGAAATCATACCCAGTCAGGGGTGGTTGAAGGGAGCTTTAAGTTCCCAGCTCTGGTCCTCTCATACTTTTCTGAATTGTTAAAGATATTACATAAGAGACGAAGAAAAAGCTTTAATATTTGTCATATTCTATAAGATTTTTGATCAATGCAACAGGGTTACTAACAGGATGAGATCTTCAACCTTGTTCGTACGGACAATTCCGCACAGTCGTCTCTTAAATCTCACTCTTTGTGGTTATCCCAGTATTACAACTCTGAAAAATGTTCCCGTCACATTGCTTAAATTTTATTAAAAGTAACTCTGTAAATATATTTGACAAGATCTTAATGTTTCTGCAGAACTGTATTCACTGTGCAATGTGTACATAAGCATTGAATATAATTCACGGGGGCGATCAAATCACAGAGAAGACTAGGTCCCAGCTCCTCTATCAGTCAAAAGACTTTGTCCCAGTAAACTGGTTCTCAGGTCGAGAAGCCAGGAGGGAGATAAACAAAATCTTAGCATATTGGGACATATTTGACTTTAAATAAGTACATGTGCTAAAACTGGGATACGACTCTTAAATCACGAGAATTATTTTTGCATTTATCGACAGGCAAGCATGCAAAAAAAAAACTTATTTTTTTCATGAGTAATATCTGTTTTTGAATATTTTAAATAAATTGACCGTGAATTTTACAACAAAGTTTGATAAGGAAGCAAAATTATATCTTATATTATATGATTACTCATGAACATTCGTATTTTTGTCACGCAAACTCATGATTGTTTCTAAATACGCAAAAAAATGGAGCACCAATTGATATTTTTTGTTTTGTTCATGTTCGATGTCAACTATATGTTCAAGTGATTTTCAAGCCAAAACAGTTACAAATTAAAATTTACATTTGACACTGATTTTTGTTCGAATAGTCTAACACAATAACACAAAACAATATTGCAGGATAAAAAAAATATATACTATACATACAAAACATAGTAGTCTAACTCCAATTGTGATTTTTACATAAATATTATATATATTATGCGAACACTGGTTTTGTCTACTAATGTTAGCAGGATAACATTTTCTTAAAATTTTAGTTCAAATCTTCAAAAGATTTGTTAATGGTTTAATATATACTTGTTGCATTTTCAAGGCACAGCAGGAAAATTAAATTAAATGGAAATAAATCCGCAAAATATTTGAGTACTGTGTACACTTAATAATATAGACTGGAACATTTTGTTAACCACACAGTTGCTGTACAGTATACAATATTCATGATGAACACTACTGTTCACTATCTAGATTTGGTAAAGGTGTACACTACTATGCAGGTAGAATGGATGGTGTACAACACTTATACAGGTTTGGTAGATAGTGAACAATTCTTAACAGACCTTGTGCATGTTGTACACTACAGTACATGACTGAACTGTACCAATGTACAGTTCCGGTAAATGGTGTACGCTAAGATGAAACTATGGTGTCTACTATTTTTCTAAGGATGGCGTACAGTACTGTTCAGTTCTAGAAGAATATGTACTCTACATGTACATATTGCAGAGATGGTATGTACGATGTATTGCATACTGTCACAATCTGTACAAAGTGTACACTGTACAAGTAAACAGAAACTCTGTTCCTTATTAATGTTTACGTAGTTTAATAAGGCGCTACGACATTTGCTCTATGGTCATTTGCTCTAGTTACATTTGCTCTCTTAACCATTTTCTCTATAGCTCATAGATCACGACGTTTGATCTATATGTCATCTGCTCTATACGTCATTTGATCTATGACTAAACACAGCATTTGCCCTATGAACAATCTTAATGACTGTCTTGGTCCATTTGCTCTGTCTATATTACAATATATTACTTTTTCTTCTGTTACAAATTCGATGTTTTTAGCATAGTTTTCAGCAGGTTAGTCATTCTTCTTATATTGATCACCTTGGGAATTCAAATTGCAAAATTTTAGAATTCGCGAATTTTCTAAAAAAAATTCCCGCAAATAAATAACTTTATGTTTTTGTGTGAAAACAGCGTTTTATATATACTCCATCATTCAACAGTTAACTAATCTTCGAACCATGTTTTTTCCACTGTGATTTTTAAAGTCAAGTCATGTTCAGTAATTCCTAAATAGTCTATTCTGTGATTTTTACAAAGTGGAACGACCCTTTTGTGCCTTAATTTCATTTAATTAATTATATAAGAGTTCAACCACCGCACTTTATGTAGTATATCGTGTCAAACTTCCTTTTTAAATAAAAAATACTTACGAAGAAGACTGCTTTTGGACGACGGAAATACAGTGCAAGAGTTCCTATACAGTTCATTTTATGGTGTCTTTTTAGGCTATAGAGCATACGACGTGTTTAGTCATAGAGCAAATGACATATAGAGCAAATGGTATTTAGAGCAAATGACGTGATAGAGCAAATGGCCATACAGCATATGGAAATAGAGCAAATGTCGTAGCGCCGTTTAATAACAAGCGTAAATTCGGCTGGAGCAGCAAGGAAAGGCTGGAGAACCTCTGGGGATTTTCTGCTATTTCTTTAAATTCAAAGGGCAATTCTTTAATAACCTAAAGGTTCATGCAGAGGTTTCCTCTTGATCTGGAGTCCATTCCTTACTACTGTCCTTCATCTAAAAAAAAGTATTTTTTTATTTTGTTTAAAAATGTAAAAGTTATAATTACATAGAATACTTAAAAATAAACTTGATCGCAAGAATTGATTGAAGAAATCAGATTAAAATAAATTGTACCTAATAAAAAACTTAAATAACCATTAGACACACAGGTTATATCTACATTGATCCCTTCAAAACTAAATTCAACAATTAAGTGAAATTTCATAAGATCTCATAATCATTATTTTAATTTTAGTTTTTTTATAAGAGCGACTGAACCGAAAAGATCCTTACATAAAAATTGCGGCCGAATAAATCTGAATTGTCGAAAATTTTGAAAATTTACAAAAAAAACAAAAAATCCACAAAAATGTCTTTGCGTTATTCTTGATCATAATCGAGGAGAAAATGCGCCTAGGTAAGGGGGAGCATGAAAGGTATTATATTTCTCTCCGGAAAATTAAAACAGTGTATAGACATAAATTAGTATTGTCGTAGGAAGATGATTTTTAGCATGCGAACTTAAAGTTTTGAATACTACATGCATTTTTCGGTTTTGAACGGAAATGAGCAAAAGAACGCGCGCGCACGCTTTTTGTGAAAAAATACGACTATTTTTTTTATGGTAAATCAATCTTAACTTCATTTATTGCAATTGAACATTTTTCCTGACACTCTTGAAACAAATATGCGGTCAAAAAAATGACCTCCAAAGCCTTACATGTCCGCGCGCGAAATAAAAGAAATATCTTTGAATATTTAATTGTTAAATTAAATTATAGCAAAATTGCATGCTGTATGTCGATTTATAGGTAATTAGGCACGAGATATTCATTTCTGAGTTCAAATTGAATATTGGAGCATCCTGACCGGCGCGCTAGTAGTCGGTAGTTACATTATGGGTCATCTTCCCACATTTTTTACATCATTTTTAAATAACTCAATATTCGAACAATATTCATTTTGTTCAGATCATTGGTTTAAGTTAAAAAAAATGAACTCCTACAATACTCAATACAGCTGATAACAGACTTTACTTCTTGAAGACTTGGTGATTGTAAGAGTGAAGAAAAGGCAATGATTTAATTTTTTTTAATAACAAAAAAAACCCATAAAATGTGGTTTATAAGATTATTTAAAAAATGAAACCTTTGTCTACTAGAATGTTCTGGCTCCTTCATACTAAATTTAATTTCAGAAAAAATTTCCTCAGGCCCAATTACCTAGAAATCGACATAAAACATGTAGAATCTGTGCTAAGATGACCGATAATGTAATGGTTGGCAACTAGCGCGCTGGTCAGAATGCTCCAATGTCTATCTTTATTTCGGAAATTGATTTCTTGTCCCAATTTTGCTATAACTTGATGTATCTCATGCTACTTTATTCTAACTTAGGCCAAACTTAGCGAATAGTTATTCAAAGATTTTTTCTTTTATTGCGCACGCGCGGACATTTAAGGCGTTGGAGGTGGCGTTTATTTGTTTCAAGAGTGTCAGAATAAATGTTCAAGTGCAATTAATGAAGTTAAGATTGATTTACTGTAAAAAAAAGTCGTATTTTTTTCGCGCGCCATTTTGCTCAGATCCGTTCAAAACCAAAAAATGCATGTAATATGCATAATTTTAAGTTGGCATGCAGAAAATCAGCTTCCTACCACAACGCTAAGTTATGTTTATACACTATTTAAATTTCTCCAAAATATGCATCGTAATTCGTGAATTTGTTAAAACACTGCAGTGCAACCAGAAAAGGCATCACAAAGGAATTGAGTCTTCGCCACAAACTTTGATTTTCTAATCCCTATATCTTTACACCACCAGGTTGCAAAGATAAAGGGATTAGAAAATTTGAGATTATAGCAAAGACTCAATTCCTTTCTTACAATTGAAATATCGAAGTCAAATTGTGAAAGTAGAGGAGAACGAAGAAATATTTGTTGCATCTAAATCAAACATGAAAAAACTAAAAATTATCTATGAGAAAAAGATTGTTTTAATTGCAACAATTTAATAAATAAGTGCTATTTGTGTTATGAACAAAAGGGATGGTCAAGCTTTAATGAAATAAAGTGCTTTTCCCAGCTAATCTTTGAAAACAGACCATTCCTCTTAAAGATTGGGGATACATACGGTTTTATTCATTCGGATTCACAAAAAAACATATTTTTTAAATGAATAGAATTTGTATACTGTATATATCCCTAAGTTAGATTGGAAAGCATGAAATGAAAGAAGGCTATCGTTCGCAAAGAATATTTAACCTATTCTAGTTCTAGTAAAGAAAGGGCGCACCCTTACGCCGGTCAAACGTTGAGTACTTCGCCCGCCGTTCACGCAGCAGGTCACAAGACTTTTCACGCCGAAGTCTCGGATTTTCTTGTTTCGGCGGTTCCTGATTACACCGTCGTCTAGCTAACTTCTCATTATCCTGCACCCAGGACAGATTAAATTAGATTAGATAAAATGGAAAAATTAGATTAGAAAAAATGTTGTTCATTAAATATTAGGAAGAATGGAAAGATTAGTCATTGTCAGATAGTGTACGTTTTGTGTCGTGTGTACTTAAGGTATATACAGTGAAAACCGTAATACTATGGAATGGGAAGACGACTATTAAAACGGAAAAAAGCCAATTTTGCATTGTACATTGTACATAGACACATTTCACTTTTAAGCTACTAGTAACATTATTTGCTTTAATGTCGCCTTTCTTTTTCCCAGTTTTCTTGGTTTTTACTGTATGCGACAAAATGAATGACACCAATTGGGATAATAAAAGATAGTTTATTTTACTGTGGTCTTTTAAATTCATAGCTTTCTTGCCCAAAGGAATAGATTACTGTCCTCAAAGTCAAATTTTCTAATAATTTATCTTTGTAACCTGATGTCGCTTAGTCCTTTGATATTTTAAGCGTTACATGCTTACGTAGCTGGAGCCAAAATTTAAAATATCAAAGGTTTCGAGTTGAAAAATAAATAGGGATTACAAAATTAGAGTTTGTGACGAGTAATCAGTTTTTTTAAAGAATCGTTGGAAAACCCTTAAAGGCCTCTTTATCTTCCCTCCGTATCCTGTAATTCCTTTTTAGTTGCAATGGTCAGCGAACTAAGAAATAAAATGGCTGGGTGATTTTCTTTAGATTTTACAAATAAAGATTGAACAATCATGCATAATCCATCCTCTCTCTTCTTTCCTGCTCAGTCATGCAATCCAACTCAACCCAAGCAAACAACCAGCCTAACCAGCTCAACCCAACCACAAACCCAACAAAACTCAGCCTAACTAGCTCAACCCAACATAACCCATCTCAACCCAACATAACTAGCCCAATCCAACCTTATAGACAGCTCAAACCAACTCGAATCAACCCAACCCAACCTGCTCTATTCAAACCAAAACAAACAAACCTAATTTAACCAACTCAACCAACCCAACCCAGCCTAGCCCGACGAAACCCAACCTAACCCAGTCTAGCCCAACCAAACCCAACCCCACCCTGTCTAGCCCAACCAAACCCAACCAAACCTAGCCCAACCCAAATCAACCCAGCCTAGCCCAACCCAACCTTACCGAAGTGAAAAAACAACATAAATTAACAAGAATCTAACATAATAAACCAATAACATATAATTAAACCAATAACATATAATTATACCAATAACAAATAATTAAACCAATAACATATAATTAAACCAATAACATATAATTAAACCAATAACATATAATTAAACCAATAACATATAATTAAACCAATAACATTCTAAATTAGAATTCTCCTATTTAAATAACTAGAGTAGTAGACCTAGAGACCCCACCCTTTAATTTCATTAATGGGTTCAATCTGTTCTACACTCACCACACTATCTAAATATATCAAACTAATGTTGGTGCTCAGGGGACTTTTTCAACAATTTGAAACCTCAACAATAAAATACATGGTGTCTCTTAAGACCCCCTCCCTAAACCCTAAACCGACTTAAAAAACAGACGCCCCCCCTCCCTCTCCCTCTCCTTAACCATAATCATGCTGGTGATATATTTTGATCTTGGGTCTTATCGCTGAAAAAAGACTTTGAAGTCCCTGAGCTTCAGGTTTTACTTTATTATCTAAATGGAGTAAGTTAAGATGAGTTGTGTTGTGTCCATATCAGTATTAATACGTGTCTTTTGTTCATGTTAGAACCAAGATTTTTAAAGACATTAAATCTACAACATACTGACCTCATTTAAAATCCAGGGTTTGCTTTCATAAGCTTGAATATGGATTTGTCCTGGTCCCGGCTCCGATATATCAGATACTCGTTCCTCCGTCGGAGTAAGATCTGAATCCTGGTCTGGGAGAGGAGAGGATGGATCTTCTCCGTTCTGATATTCGTCTTCATGGCTCAGCTCCTCCTCCGTTCCTTGACAGTCCTGAGTATCCAACTCAACCGAGTTGAAACTCTGGGGTCTTGGATCCGATTCAAGATCCATCGGATCCGATTCTACCGAGATAAAACTGACGGGACGGGATCGAGGAACAGGAGACGGAAAGGATCGAAGACTGTCGGAACGGAGGAATCCCTTCACCTGATCCTGGTACCTGGAGAGCTCACGCTTCAGAAGATCTCGCTCCTGCTCCCTCTCCTGGAGGAGGGTGAGGAGCTCGGTGAGGTTCTGGTTCATGGTGGTGGTGATCTGAACCAGTTGATTACCAGAGTATCCAGGATGTAGTGGAGTATCACGGGATGGAGAGGAACGGGCAACTAGATCCTGTTCAGTTACCTAGACAAACAAAACCGTTAGACGAATGAACTTTTTCCAAATTGTCAATTGGTCACTTGAAAAGTATCATGAACCAAAAATCATTTCATAACCATTGGACCAGTAAAACCTAAAATTTGTAAAAATAGATATATTAATTTGTAAACATCGATTTATTAATTTGTAAAAATAGAAATCTTAATTTGTAAAAATAGATATATTAATTTGTAATAATAGATTTTTTTATTTGTAAAAGTAGACATATTAATTTGTAGAAATAGATATTAATTTGTAAAAATAAAAATATTAATTTGTAAAAATAGATATATCAATTTTTAAGAAGATTTCTATAAAAAGGAAAGACTGAAAAGATATAGGGATGAAGGATGAAGAATAAAAGGATATAGGAAAAAGGGAAGAATGAAAAGAAAAAGGATGAAAGGATAAAGCGATTAAGAATGAAAAAAATAAAGGGATAAAGGGATGAAGAATAAAAAGATAAATAATAAAGGATGAAAGGATAAACGAAATGAAGGGATGAAGAATGAAAGGATAAAGGATGAAAGGATGAAAGGATAAGCGAAATGAATGGATAAAGCATGAAAAGATAAAGGGATAAAGGATGAAAGAATAATAGGGTTAAGAATGAAAAAGATGAAAAATGAAAAAAAGGATGAAGAATGAAAGGATAAAGGGATAAAGGATGAAAGGGGTGAATGATAAAAAGAACAAAAAGAGGGTGGATAAATTTTAAACAAAACAAATAATTCCCACGTATAAACCCAACCTTGAAAACGTGATAAATTCTCGAATCCTCAATCATATCTCTTGAAACCCCTCATCAACATCCCTTTCCAACCATATTATTATACGCCCTGACCAGATATATTTATATTTATTTATCTACTGTTAAAATAATCTAAAATGATAGTACAGTGATCCCCGTATAACTGTGGAATAGAAAATTGACGAATTAAAGTAATCTTGAAAGAAATTTTGAGTCTTTGCCACAAACTCAAATTATCTAATCCATATATCTTTGCAACCTGATGGCATGTAAACCTTTTATATTTTTAACCTATAACTATAATTATCAAAGGTCTACGGCATTGGATTGCAAAGATATAGAGATTAGAACATCAGAGTTTGTGGCAACGAATAAATTACTTCATTTGACGAAAAAAGCAAATAAATTTACTACAGAGTGATCACTAAAGATGTGGAACAGGGGACGATTTTTTTAAAGTAAATTGTTTTATATATATAGTAAATTACTTTAAAAAGTCATCTAGTAATTATTACCTAGATTAAAGAGTAATAAATATTCTAGGAAAATAGCATTCCAATTGCTTAAAATGTACAAGGAGGGTTACCCACAGGATGCGACTTACAGAAGAAACTCTTTAAATATGACGATTCAAAGGTTAAGTCTTTGCTATAAATATAGTTTATAAATATCTGCAAGTTTTTAGTTGCAGAGAATCATAAATATTTTTATGGAAACAGACGGTTTAAATTCCGTACAATCGTCTCAAAGGTCTCATCCTTTGTGGGTAACCCTGTATGTCATTTTCCACCCATCAAAAATCAGACATTTTTAATTGGGACACACAAAAGATTAAAATGATGATATCTTTCAAACATTTCAGATAATCATAATATTTCATTCTTGATGCTGATATTTATTTTGATAGTTAAAGCATAATTAAGATATTTCGCATAATTAAATAGATGAGGTGGGTGTGAAGGCCGAGGGAATATTATAATTAGATAAATAGATTGATAGATAGATAGGTAGACAGTTAGATATATCATACATAAATAGATATATTAATTAATATTAATAGATAGATACTTGATAGATAAAAAGAAAGATTGATCGCAAATAGAAACCTAGGTAAACTAAATAAACCGAAAAGTAGAAATATAAATATATCAAGAAACACTTAACGCTCTGAGTGGAATAATAAGTACAACTATGTGAATTTATTATGGATGTACGCTTTTGGGTATAATACATTTTTAACCATTTTCTCCACTTATACGCAACATATAAAAGAAATAATTAGTAGCGATCGATATCGAATTCAATTCGATAACAGCCATACCCCTTCTAATTTTTTTGCGAACACTACCTTTAAGATTTTGCCAAAATGGTCAAAAAAATAACTTTGGTTGGTCGATAATAAAATGGTTCCTTTATTAACCCCCTACCCCCTAATTATTGCATCCTTAGTGGCGCCTAAGGTACCCAAACTCACCTTAAGGGACGCGCTGACGACCTGAGTAAGAGAGCGTGCCTGCGCGAGTGCCGTGAGTAGTACTTCACGTACATCTCTCTTATGATCAGCAGAACCAGCAATATCAGAGATTATCTCAAAATCCTCCTCGGGGACCTGGATAGATAGATATATAGATACTAGGCTTTTAGGGCGCTTCGCTCCCATCTTCAATTTAAATTGTGAACATGTTCTTTTTGTTTACATTTTAAAACAATTAGAAGAAAAAAAATTTGCGGATTTAAAAAAAAAAATTCGCGGATTTTCAAGAATTTAAATTTTTTTACAAAATTAAAAACCTTTAGAACACATTTTTTTTATTTTTATCATTCATAAACCTTCCCTGTGGTCACGTGATGTCCCACAAAAAATTTGGGCCCGCTCGGTTCAGCCGTTTTGACGTTTATTGGATTCAAACAAACAAACAAACAGACAGGCAATCCAAATTTATATATAGATATATTTATATTTCAGTTTTTAACTTCACATTTTTTATTAAAAAATAATTATACTATTTTTTTAAAATATAAAAATTGAAGTTAAAAACTGAAATATAAATCTCCGCTGGTATATACGGTGTCGAGAACTCTGCAGTCCTACACTTCTACAAAACTGATATATATTTATAGATGGACAGATAAACTCAAGCTGAATATTGCTTACAGCATTAAACAATGTGTTTAATAAAATGTGTTAAAAAAATTCTATCTATTCAGTGTTTCCTATAAGTTGACACGGCTGAAGCGAATGAGCCTTTAAAAAATGTCTTAGTTTTTTTTGGTCAGAAACTATTTGGAAAATCAATCTTTCGATTCAGAGTTTTATAAGCATGAAGAAGTTTTAACTTGTTTTGATATAATTATCTGTTTCTAGATAAACGCAAATGACAAACGCAAATCCATTTGTAGATAATGAAAACACAAAAACATATTTTCTAAACCTGTTTAAAGTTGACATTTTTAAAATGTCTATACCTGGAGTATCTCAGCAATAAGTTTCTGCTTCTCTCCCAGAATACGGTTCAATTCCTCGTCCTTGAAAAAATCACAATTTTCCCACAAATATTTCAAATGTTTCAGAGTGATAAGGTAATAGCAATATATATAAAATGTCTGATTGAGAACCGTAAAGAATCTGCAATCTGCATAATTATATTTGTTTTACTGTCCTGTCCTGTCCTGTTCTAATTCTGTTCTGTTTTGTTCTGTTCTGTTCTGTTCTGTTCTGTTCTGTTCTGTTCTGTTCTGTTCTGTTCTGTTCTGTTCTGTTCTNCTGTCCTGTCCTGTCCTGTCCTGTCCTGTCCTGTCCTGTCCTGTCCTGTCCTGTCCTGTCCTGTCCTGTCCTGTCCTGTCCTGTCCTGTCCTGTCCTGTCCTGTCCTGTCCTGTCCTGTCCTGTCCTGTCCTGTCCTGTCCTGTCCTGTCCTGTCCTGTCCTGTCCTGTCCTGTCCTGTCCTGTCCTGTCCTGTCCTGTCCTGTCCTGTCCTGTTCTGTTCTGTTCTGTTCTGTTCTGTTCTGTTCTGTTCTGTTCCGTACATTTCTATCAATATCTATCTATCTATCTATCTGTCAATGTATATAGAAGCCGTCTATCTGTCGCCAGCTACTGATTCATCCAGGTTTATAGTTTGAAAATATCTGGGGAAATATTTAATTTAGGGGAATAGTTTAGGCCAGGGGGATTATTAAAGATAGGGAGGGGTAAAACATCTTCAAAATCAGGGGTTCAGTTAAAAAACTTCTAAACTAAAGTCTATTCACCAACAAATGTAATCTTTCTTGTGAATAGAAATGAGTAGGCTCAAAAATATGTTAAGGGAAGAAAAACGCCTGGAAACTTCCCTCCGTTTAATTTACATTCTGTAATATTTACCCTTGCAGGGAATAGGAAGGAAAAGATATTGGACAGGTGTAAAGATGAACAGGAGGAGGAGGAGGGGGGGGGGTCCAAATATTGTATACTAGGACGGACCCAGAAGCTTAGTGCCCTATACATGGATTTTATTTAAAAACTATTCCAGGGTTAGGTTAAGTCAAATTCTGGACTGAGCTCCCCCCCCACCTCCCGTATATTCTTGTGAACTCGGCCTCCCTCTCACAAAGAATGAGACGATCTGATATTATATAAATATGATAATTCCCAGGTTAAATCATGTCGTCTGCCTGATATATATTTGTTTAATACTCAAGGTATCAGGGAACTATAAATTCTAGGAAACAGACAGTTTACAGTTCGTACAGTCGTTGTTCAATGATAAATGTAATATTAGGTTTTGATAAATAAAAGTTACGCTGAAAAGTTTTGAAAGATTTTTCAATTTTAATGAGGTAATTTCTGTTTAAATTACCCTCCCCCCATCTCCCCATCATGTCAGTCGAAAGTTATTTCATCATATTTTTCCCTTTTGTAAGGGCATTAAAAAAGTAGCCTAACCCTGGCAACATGCATGGGTGGCGGCCGCTTTTCAAAAATATCACTTGTCTAATGGTCATAAGGTGACTTGAGTTTCAATGTGATCACCAGGTGTGGGCCTGTGATTGTTTTGCAGAGAACGATCATCATGTTTTCCTTGGAACTCAGGAAGGTTTTTTTGTCAGAGTTACTGTTGAAATCAAAATCAAAATAGAAGATTCTGTAAAACAAAGTTAAAATGTTAAATATGAGAGGGAAACTTTAAGTTATAAGCTGAAGGGTTTTGTTCTGAGATGTTGAAGGGGTCTATATGCCAAACAATCCAGAGTTTATTTCAAGGATGTACAGAGGGTGGAAGGCTTGAGCTGCCAAAAATTCCAAAAGAAATTCTGAGAAGAAGCATTTTACGAAGTGTCTTCATTATAAACAGTAACTACATTAATGACCAATGGATTACTTAAAAATGGATTATTTAGCTGTAGATGATCTGACTAGATTTCAAGCCAAACCCTGATCAAGGCAACACCCACAATACTTTACTTGGTTTACAGGGTGTCCTACAATTAATCAAGTTTTTTTATTAAACTTAGGATTATAAAGAAATTAATTTTTTAAATGAACATTTTCAAGAAACCCAGTTTTTTTAATTTTAAAGTTTATCACCACAAACTGGTGCTGCGTGCAACGTCTTTAAAGCTTGAAATCGTAATGTGATATTTAACAGAACAAAAATGCCCGATTCACAACTGTACGCTTAAAAGCCTTGCAATGATCAAGTATAGATTATATATCACTGTTAATAATGTTGAAAACTGATTATTTTCAATTGTGGTTTCGCTATAACAAAGGTGCAATTTGCGCAATTCTACTGCAGAAAAAGCTGGGCTCTCAGCAAAACATACAAGAATTATCAGAATTAAGTTTCAGTGATTAGGGCATTGCCATCTTTGCACGGGGGTCACTTTAGATTGCGCTCACATTACCAAGCAAGCATTCTTTAGTAAAATTATCTGCATTTTATGATGCAATAGCGTACTTGCACGTTATGTCAAATTAGGAAAAGCTCTTCGGGTCAGTTTTTAACAGAATAAATGTATAAATAGTCAATGTAATTAGTGAATATATCCTAAGGGTGTCCAATATAAATAGAGACTTTAGAAAAATCATTCTCACCCATCAGTTTTAAATTTACGCTGGGTGATTGAATTTTGACACAATTTCATAAGAAACACTAGCTCCAAAATTTTAATTGGCACGGTAGTTTTTAACCCCAGGGAAGGTTTATATATGAATGAATTTTCAAATATTTGCTTCTAACAACATTCGATTTTGAATAATTTAGAAAATCCACCAAATTTTTTATAAATTTTTGTTTTTTGTTTTACGATGTATTCAACGAGAAAATGTTAGCAAATGTAATAGCAGATGGCAGATCATCGCGGATTTTTCATATTGGTGAATTTGCTATTTTATAAGCTGTTTAAAAAGTCTCAATTCATAATGGACAACCTTTAGGGTATAAATTAAGTCAGGTGAAAGCTGAAAGGTGATAAAGGAAGCCTTTTATTTGATGGAGTTTGTTAATCCCAGAAATGATTGGGAAATTGAAATGAAACCTAGATAAAACCCATAATTTGATAAACATCATGAATGGGGTTGTACATGGTCTAGGGGTGGGGGTAAAAAAAATTCGGCCACTCACGCAAAAAGTTAAATTTACCCCCCCCCTTTACGCCCCTATGCCCCTCTTTAATATTATAATGTCACCACTGACTAAGGTTAAGTAACGAGGTGCCCCCCCCCCCTTGAATAATGAAACTTCGCCCCTGACTTAGGTTAAGAAATGTTGTAAAATCAAGATTTTCTTTCCTAAAGGTTAGGCAGTGCTTCAGGCATTTCGGCTTTAACTGAAGAATTATGTAAGCATCCTTTCGCGCCAGTGTCCTCATAAACCGTAATTTATATCTAATCAAATCAAATAATATATTTTCTTCAGTAAACATTATAACAAATTAAATAATATATAAAAAATTAAAATTTGATTAAAGTTGGGCCAACTTTCAGACATTGGATTTAAACATTTTATAGCTATTTGTAAAGCCTTTAACAAAAGCAAGAAGATTGCACAATTTTTGCAAAGAAATTTTGCACAGATTTTTGCACAGACGCCTTTAAAGGAAATTTGCCAATTTTCAGTTTTTCTTAAATACACATTTAGGTTTTAAAAAATTTGTAAATGTTTTTGCACATTTAATTCCCTGGGTCAAGGGCTTTTCAAAAATGTATAATATGTTGCAATTTGCGCATTTTTTGCACATTCTTTGCTTAATAATAAGATGTCGCAATAAATTTTTGGATTTGTGCAAATTTGCCATTTTTTTTGCAGATTAATGAAGTATAGCCAAAGGGCTTTCCAAAAACGTATCATATGTTATAGATTTGTATCACAATGAGAAAATAGAGGGGGGGGNAAGGGCTTTCCAAAAACGTATCAAATGTTATAGATTTGTATCACAATGAGAAAACCCCCCCCCCAGGGCAGCGAGTCGGTAAACTAGACGTCAAGCTAAAAAGGGTTAACAGGATCAACTGTAGCAAACCAAATAATCTATATAATAAAGCTTTTTGCTTATATATATATTTATATACACGTTAGCTCTTTGGATAGACTATACATCCCAAAGAATGTATAGACACAGAATTTCTTCTGGATACATTTACGTTATACGGCTCCATCTTTCAGTCCAAGCGTGTCTCAGTCTATAGTCTTTGAACTACAGAGTGTCGCACGAAACATGACAGTTGGTGAATAGTTTAAAATGTCTTCTTCCATATTTTTTAAAAGGACAGACCGACTATGTAAGGTAGTTAAACTAAGTATGCACTGCAGTGTTGTGGACAAATTATTTAGGATTCTTTGAGACATATAAAACGTTTCTACGATGCATAATTACTGAGTTTGAGCGCAAAGTCGACGTTCAAAATCATGAATTTGGGTGGGTATGTTTTCTAAATCGTTTTTTTTAATTATTAAATAACGACGACGAAAATTATAGTAAAAATTCTATAGTAAAATAATTAGATGGTTAGGAACATATTTCTCAAAAGAAATTTGTCGATAAATCAAAGTTAGAATTAATTATTACTTTTTCATCATTATTAATATTGAATTTCTTATAGTTTATGAATTTGTTCCCACATTTCTTCAAATTCGTCTTTTTTATAAAAATTCCAGAAAATCTGCAGAAAATCTTTGTGATTAAAGAGTGATTATAGAAACTAATAATTTAATAAGATTACTTATTTTCGATGATAAGAGTTCATTTTTATTTTCTCAATCTGTTCTTAAACAACTAATTAGTTTACTGTAGAATTTTGCTCACATTTTCTGTTGTCGTTATTTAAAAAAAAAAAAATTCTGAAAACGATTTTGAACGTCGACTTAGCGCTTAAACTCAGAATTTACAGATCTTACAATCTGCCTTCAGTGTAAATATATACTTTCAATCTGCCTTCAGTGTAAATATATATTTGATATCATAATTTATAATACAATATTTATCAATCCAATGAAATATAGATATTTTTTTAGAAACGTTTCTATCTATATTTTTCACCCCTTGA